CAGACATGTGTATATATACATGTATAAATATGCATGGATGTAGACATGAAGCATGTGCATATATTATATATGAAGAGGGAAAAAAAGAAGGGGAAGTGGAGGAGAGATTATATATAAGGTAGGATATATTTAAATAAAGTGCATATGGGTGTATAGTTGGAGTGAGATTATTATAAAAATGTGTTTAATTCGAGATCTATGTTGAGTCCTTTAGGGGCTATGGTGTCTAGCTCAAAAATCCACTTAGCTTCTGTTTGATCAAGTAATTTATCAATACTACCTCCTCTCCATTGAAGTGGAAAAATCAATTAAAGTATTGATTATTTCTTTGTGTATCTGCCCCTGGCCAAATCAATGAAACAATGCGTGCACGCTCCCTGAAGTAATTCACACCAGACACAGGTTCTAGGTTGTTGAATAACTTGAGGAAAGTTTATTCAGAGGGGACGGCAAGTCCCTTTTAAAGCAAAATTTCATCATAAGCATTGTCAGAGATAACATGGAATAATACATCAATTATTGGTTAGGTGTTAAGTGGTTGCTTCAATGCTCTGCCTACTGTAGGTGATGTCACCGGGGCCATGAGAATCTCCCATGGTTTCCCGGCGCCATCTTGGTGCACGAGGTAGTTAGTCGATGTTAGAAGGGAGAAAGGGAGGGGGAGGGGGAAGGAGCTAGAAGCTTCCAGCAGCCATCTTGATTATAACGTGTGTGCTTAGCTATATATGTATATATCGTGAAATGAGTAAATAGACATTTTTCACTAACTAGGAAATATGTGTAGACCTTATTTCCACAACATCTCCAATGTACAATAACTTTTTCTATAGCTACGAAATCTAATCCTGTGGGGTCTCCCCCATGTATCTCCTTATAATGTTTAGCGAGATTGTGGGTGAGGAGTCCTTTTTTGATATTCCTAATGTGTTCTGCAATGCGTCCTCTAAGTGGTCTTTTAGTACGTCCAATATAGTGTTTTGGGCAAGGACACGTAATTAGATAGATGACTCTCAGGGTATTGCAACTCATATTGCTCTTAATGTTGTATTCTTCTTGTGTGCTTAATGATGTAAATTTGGCGATTAATCCCTCAGATGAACCGTTATTTTTGCATGCTAAACATTTCTTACATTTTTTAAAACCGTGGGTAGAATCTTGATCTGGAATATTTGTGTGAGATTTGATAGTAGGTGCCATCATAAGTTGGAGATTGTAGGCTCTTGTGAATATGATAGGGGGTTGAGGATCAAGGAATTTAGTGAGTGTTGGGTCATTTTTGAGAATTCCCAAGTGTTTTCTGAGAATCTTCTGTATTCTGAGTGATTGGTGATTGTATTTTGTGATGAAACTAGGTGCAAAAGTGTGTAATTCCATGGCCTTTGCTTTTTCACATAGGGTGTCTTCCCTGGGGATAGATAGTGCTTTTTCCATTGCTTCTCCCAATAGTTCTGTAGGATATCCCTTGTTTATGAATCTCTTCTTCATTCCATCCATTTGTTTCACACATATGTCTGTTTTGGAAGAGTTACGTCTTATCCTCCGAAATTGGTTTTGGGGTATGTTCCTTAACCATGTGGGTTTATGATGACTACTGAAAGGGATAAAACTATTACAGTCAACACTTTTTTTGAAGGTCTTTGTGTGGATCCTACCTTCTTCAATGTAGATATTGAGGTCTAAAAACTCAATTTGCTCTTTAGAGTGATTAAAAGTAAATTTCAGATGGTAAGGATTGTTATTGAGGTAAGTTTTAAATTCCTCTAAAAATTGTAGATTACCCCTCCATATAAAAAAAAAAAACAGTTGTCAATATATCTTCGCCATAGGGACAGATTTGCGCCAAAAGGGCAGAGGGTCCAAATAAATTCCTCCTCCTACTTGCCCATAAATAAATTGGCGTAGCTTGGCGCAAATCGTGTCCCCATGGCTGTACCTTCGATCTGGAGGTAAAATTGATCCTCACACCAAAAATAATTGTGTGTTAAAATAAAAGCAATGCATTGTATTAAAAAGTAAATCTGATCATTCATTAATTCTGAATAAGTAGCCAAAGAGAATTGTATAACTTCGCATCCCTGAAGGTGTTCGATAATTGTGTATAAAGAGGTGACGTCTGCAGTAACTAAAAACATGTCTTCATCCCAATTAAAATCAGATAAGAGATTTAAAATTTGTGTGGAGTCTTTCAAGTATTTAAGGCATGAGACCAGATGTTGTAGATATTGGTCCACATATTCAGAGAGATTTGCCGTTAGTGATCCAATGCCAGATATAATTGGTCTACCGGGAGATTTTTCCAACCGCTTATGGATTTTCGGTAGGTGGTAAAAAATTGGTATCCTTGGAAATAGGGTGTTTAAATACTTAAATTCTCTATCATTGAGGATGCCTCTGTCTTTTCCATAATTGAGTATCTCTTTCAGTTCTTCTTGATATTGTGGAGTAGGATCCTGGTCTAATCTTAGGTAGGTGTCTGTGTCTCCTATCAACCTTCTATTCTCTTCTACATAGTCCTCAGTGTTTAGGACAACTAGGCTCCCCCCCCCCTTTGTCCGCTGCTTTGATTGTGATATCTTCAAGTTTCATGAACTGTTTTAGTGCTGATCTCTCCTTTTTGGTTAGGTTGTCCTTCGTGATTCTATTGGTAACCTTGTTCCTAAAATCTTTCTCTACCATTTTTTCAAATACTTTTATAGAATCATATTTGAAACTGTTTATCATGGGGAGAGATAGAAAAATAACATTGCCATTGACGTTGTGTTAAGTCATGAGGTCCAATGGTTTCCATGTCTAGTCTCATTTCAGCCCTGTAATACAAGTACATTTTACAGACATTTGCATTGATTTTATATAATCTGCAAACCCCAGCTAACAATTAGCGACTGAATGTGGACAATATTTTCATCACATTTTGACTGGATTCGATACCAGCTGAAATTCTAGCAGCCTAACACAATAAATGGGTCTATTACTCAAGAAAAATGTGCTTTGAAAGCAGTATTTGTAATGACAAAGCCAGTGGCTGCTGTCTGATGAAGTTGTTATGGTGCCATAGTGTTTCTTTAAATTCCCAATAAGGAATAAAATAACTAACAAACAAAGATAAACCTGCATTTAATTTTGTTTTGTGAAAGAGAACTACGCTTAATAGTGGTTTCACCTGGATAGGCAGAATTTTCATATTACTTTATTTACTTACGTAGTGAAGTCAGTTTGACAATGAGCGGTGTCAGAAGAACAAAACACACACATGAATTATTGTAAATATAAATTTATTGCAACTCCATTTATTGGGTGACCATAGTCTGACATGAACAGCCAATGTTTTTCCCAAACAATTCCTTAAAAGATCTTGCTGAATCAGAACCCTTTAAATTTGGAAGAACATTAACATTACTTAACACTCCAATATATATATATATATATATAATTACTAGGTCTGCAAGCAAGGTGTCAAATAGTGAGAACTGTACAAAAAAGAGGAATCCAAAATGATGTATGAAGGAATACTAAAACTTGTTCTTTTAAATAAATGTTAGAGAAAAATTATTTTTCTCTCAAATTTTTTAACATTTTGTAGTATTATCTTTATTAATATTTTTTATTTTTGTATTCGTGTTAGTTTTATTATTATTATTATTATTATTATTATTATTATTAATATTTCTGTCTTTGCCAAAATACATCATCTCCTCACTGGCCCCTGTTTTTCTAATTTCAGCTATGATGTGTTTGCTTTTAAAAGCTGTGTCCTTGGAGGCGTTTCATTGCCTGTCATTAATATATAGTAGGACGTGGAACATGTTTTTCTAAGGCTTGCTGCAGAGACATCGTGAGGACAGGCAGAAGGTGCAGTATGTTCAGTCCATAGTCAGGATCATAAATAACTGTTATGTTTGATAGCTTAATGATTATTCAGAACAGATCTACTTCACATTTTAATGAAACCATTTCAGATGAATTCACATTCAATAACTACCTACCATAAGAGATTAAGTGAATGCGTGATATACAGAGAAAATACAATGCTAGTGTGTTGGCTAAGCTGTTGGCTGTTTAGAAGTTCTTAAAAGAAAATCTCATTCAGTAAATAAACTGAGCAATAGTTACATTTTAGATTCTTGAAATAATGCTAAAAGGGTCTTGTCTCATACAATCAAGCAAAATAAATAGATTGGTGTTTTTAACACATTACATCTCAGCTGTAGTTTGCGTGATATACACGATCACTTTCTCTGATGGCAATAAACACTATATACAACATAGTTATAGTTAAAAAAATCTGAATTAACATTGTTAGATCTACACAGGAAACTACTTATATTGGCAAGTGTTAATGCCTTGTCTGCTTCCTTTCTCTTTCTCTCACCCTGTCATTCATTCATTCTTTTTATCTCTCTCTCTCTGTCTCTCTGTCTGTCTGTCTGTCTGTCTATCTGTTGTTCTCTCTCTTTGTACCTATCTCTCTTCACAGGTATGAGTCAATTAACATTCCTGCTACTGAGTACATCACTATCAGTCCTCTGCGGTGAGCTGGTATTTTTTGTTAATTTTACTATAATAGTTTGTTAAACATATAATATATACTAATATAACCATAAACAGCCAGGCTGGGAAGATAATGAAGTAAATCTACTTTTTTTTTGTGGGAAAGAAAAACAAAAATCTATTTTACTGGGGAGAATACATTTTTAAGTTTATCCTGACTTCCTAATTGTGTTGTTTTTTTTTTGTTGTTTTTCTCTTAAAAGAATATGACCTCCTTCAAAAAGAATGTATTTTAAGTAAGGTTACAGATTAAGAAACGTGAACTTAGGAAGTATTGCTCTAAAACAATGTATTTGTTGGCTGATGGAATTTTGCATTTAATAAAGTTTAGACATATTTATAGAGATGTAGACCAGTATAAAAATTCCTAGCACACGAGTAGAAACCTGTAATGGAAAGGGAAAAATAGAGAGCTTGGAGAGTTGTTTACCCTATATCGACTTGGTACGTCCATGGGTACGTCTCTCACCAATGGAAGGTACTTTAGAAGATGATACATGACACGTGAAGGCAATGGACGAAGACATAAAAGCTTAATATGCGTCATATTTGGAGACACAGATGTAAATGGTAATGTTATTGCAGAAAATACTACTCCATTTGGAATTGTATGCCATGATAAATCCCTGGAGGATTGATGGGTGGGATGTGCATAGCATGCAATTCTACTCTTCCCACTGGTGGCATCATCTTGTCTTTATATCCACGGTCAGGCAGCAGATTGTTTAAATGAGGGTCGAGAAAAAATGTATTTACCCCAAAATCACGGCATTCCATATCTTTATTGTTTTCATTCTGAAAACCATTTACACTTCTATCAATCAAAGGTCTTTTACTCAAATCTCAAAAAACTAAACTTCCTTAGAGATAAACTTGCTTCATCTTGACTTAGGAAAAAGAAAGGTAAAATGATTGCCTTGTTCATCCCATTCAGACTGTGGTGTGGCAGAACAACTCTTGCTGTACCAGAGGAGGCTCTTTTCAAATGATGAGGTGATAATCCAAAGATTAATGTAGACCTCTTCATACACATGGTAATGTAAACTAATATTTTAGTCACCTTATAGTGTTTTTAATTGACTGGTAATGCTCAGTGTAATATTAGTTATTTTATTATAGGTCTCACTATTCACTATCTTGTTATGATTATTTTGGATTTTTGCTATTGCAGCCGGAAGAGATTCTAACACTGATTCATGCCTCTTTTTGCAGGAATCATCTCAGCAGGACCACTGGGTAGAGAATTTGTCACCGTCTTCATGCAAAACTATCAGCGAGGATCAAGTAATTCCAACCTTCAGGTGTTTGTCAGTGCCTTTAACCCATACACAACTGTCACTGTGTCAATAAATGATGGCACCTTTAAGAGGGTATTTACTGTAGGGGAACGACTTACTATGAGTACACAGGTCCCATCCACTGTAGAACTACAAGGCATCAAGAAGTCCAGTAGAGTACTCATTATAACGTCTGATAAGGATATCTCAGTGTTATCTAAAAATTACAAACCAGAAAGTGCTGATATTAGCATTTTGCTGCCAGTGCAAGACTTGGGTAAGGAATACTATATCTTGACGCCTTCCTACGAAGGCTCTAAGCTGTTTACAGTGATAAGTGGTCCAGAACCAGCAAGTGTTGACATTTACTTCACGAGTGCCATGACAATTGATGATGTGGTTATTGAACCTGGGGAGAAATTCTCTTTTATTCTGCAACCATACAATGCTTACCAGTTCACTAGTGAGAACAACCTCTCTGGAACCAGAGTTGTATCTCAGCAACCAGTGGCAGTTCTGAGTGGCCTGACGTGCAACGTGAAGAATATTAAGTGCAACCATGTTTATGAACAGCTCTATCCAGTTCCTATGTGGGGTTTTAATTATATTGTGCCTCCTATTGACTCCCAGACTACTCCTGATGTTGTTTATGTCCTGGCTTTTCAAGCCACAACAATCACATATCAAAGTGGTTCAGTGATATCAACCAAGACTCTAATTGAAGGAGAAGTGTCAGAACTGAGCTTAGAGGTCCAGACAGCCCTCTCCATCTCAGCCACCAGTGGGATCCAAGTTCTACATTATTGTACAGGTGGACAGGACAAGTCTGGAATTCCATATAGCCCTTTTCTGATTACTGTTCCCCCAATCAGGAGTTTCTGTTCATCATTCTATGTGTTTGGTGAAGAAGAGTTTGACAACTATGGTTCAATAGTTGCAATAACATCACACTATCCTAAAATTACTTTCAACAAAAAATTATTTAAAGGACTAGTTTGGAAAAGTATCCCCGGTACAGATTATTCCTGGACTTCTCAAAAGTTAGCGATAGGCTTAAGTTTTCAAGTCGTAGAGAATCCTTTATCATCTTTCTTGATGTTGTCATATGGGATTGCCAAGAAGAATAGTTATGGATCTGAAGCCACCTGTATCAGCAGAACCACAGGTATGCCATTTATTTAGTTTGTGGTCATGAAGAAATGCTCTGTAGATGTATAGTGCACACGTTTTTGTCTGCACAGGTTCATGTTCACATATACATAGTGCTATGTATCCTGTATATATATATAGGATATAAATTAGACTTTGAACTGTTCATTTTACAGATGTTTGTGTAAAAATAAATAATACATATTTGCTCTAAGAATAGCGTTCCTGAAGTCCTAATAATATCAACACAAACCAAGTTATAGATAGATATAGATAGATGGATGTATGGATTGATAGACAGTCAGACAGACTGATTGTTGAGGTGACTGAAAAGCTTGAATTGTTATATATCCATAATAATAAGAAAAAAGTAGATCCCGTCTATAGATTGGGATTATATCGTCCATGCACAATGGTAGCTCTGCAAAATGTGAATGAATCCTCTATAAACAAATATCTTACTAATGTTTTATAAATTTCATCCGTATTGCACTATTACTGGTTCTACTTTTTTTTTTTAGCTTATCCAATTGGAATATTGAAAAAGGTATATAGTTGGAGTTATTGCACTGTTGATGTTATTTTTCTTGGTGCAGTGTTTCCCTGTATCTTTTTAGTTGTATTATACCAATAATAAACTTAAAGGAGAGCACACAGGAGACTAAATTAGACTGTTTTCATGGCTGCTTATATTTTTCCTTGCATCTCACATACTTGCAATAAGCCAACGAATCAAAGTTTCGGTGCTCTCTTCATTAATCTTGATAAAAGTCACTGTGAGGACTGAAATGGTGTTTCCTTCTCTTATGGCAAGTATGTGAGCTGCGTAAAAACAGACACAAAACTAGTCTAATTGGCTCTCCTGAGGGATCTTCTCCAAGTTTATTGTACAGCAGTATAGATCTTGGAGTACTGTTTTTCGTTGTTGAGTGCAACGTATCCTAAACATTCCATCAGGCACAAATCTTTTCGAGTCCAAGGGAGATTTTGTTTTGTTGTTTTATATATAGGTTTCCCAACAGTTGTCTAGAAGTTTTCTTGAAAGCTTTATTTTGTTGACTTTATAGCAGTTTCCTGTAATGAAGATATTGGCCAGCTTGTGTACACGCCACAAGTATACTTAGAAAAATAAACTTTAAACAACAATTACATGTAACTGATGTCCATGTTTTACTTTAAACTGTAGATAATTATTAATTCAGTACTATAAATATATCCTGTTGCATTATTCATTAAAAACTCATTGATTGGCCAAGTTTAGGTATTGATTAGTACAATAAAGTGGTTCACTAGTTGGCATCATTAATTGCAGAAATATTGTCAGCATTTGGCAGAATTCGGGTTCAGTGATGGGCATTCTGTCTAAATCTGCAGAACTAATAATCCCATACCGACTTCCTTACAACATGTCTACTGTCCTCATTAGTATTATTTATTTTCTATTTTTTTTTTCTTCTACTGGATAAACTGTTCCATTTCCATTTGAATACAATCTTGTAACCAGACACTCAAACTCTACTCTACTAGATTATTTCTAACATATAACATGTTTTTTCTTAATATATCTGACTCTGCAAAATGTTTTAGATACAACGTACATAAATAACGAGCCCTTGTATGCTTCTCACACAGCTACATCGTGCAGCTCTGTAAGGTGCAGAGTTAAGGAAAAGTGCCAGATGTTAAACGGAAAACCAGCATGTGTACCTGCATCTCAGTCTTATTGCTGGGCACAAGGTGATCCCCATTACCGTACCTTTGATGGTTACTTCTATGACTTTCAAGGAACCTGCACCTATACTGTTGCCAAAACTTGTGGGAGTGACAGTGGCCTCACTGCATTCAACATCGAGACTTCAAACGAGAACCGAGGAAACTCTAGGGTTTCCTATGTCAGCAATGTAACAGTCCAGGTGTACAGTTTCACAATATCCTTATTCAGGTTTGAACATGGATTTGTGAGGGTAAGCTTATGAAAATGTGTTTATATTGCTCTAATTATACATCAGTCCATTGGTGAGGGTACACCAAGTGGTGTATCCTGGTTTTGTGTCAACCCACTAACAGACACACACACTAGCAGACACACATACACACATACTCACACACACACTTTTTTTTTTAAATTTAACCCCCCCAGCCTCCTTACCTTTGGGAATGCTGGGGGGGGGAGGATTCTCCCTCTCCCTGGGGTCTAGTGGGGCTGCTAGTCAGTCAGTCGGTCGGGCGGGCGGCGCTGGCAAGGGAGCACTTTCCCCTGAGCGCTCTGCTCAGCTCCCTCGCGCGCCGCAGAGTGATACTGGGAGCCAGAATATAATGTAATATTCCAGCTCCCGACTTCACTCTGCAGCGGGCGAGGGAGCTGAGCAGAGCACTCAAGGGAAAGTGCTCCCTCACAAACGCCGCCCGACTGACTGCCCACCTGCCTGCCTGCCTGGCTTGTCTGTTAGCCGCCAGGCTAAGAAGACATTTGCCCTGGGCATTTGGGGGCAGCTTTTATTGCTGCCCCCTGGAAAATGCCACCCAAGACAAATGCCTTGTTTGCCTCGCGGCTAAAACGTCCCTGGGTACACCTAGAATAAGTTGTAGGTTCTTAGACAAATAGTGTATCTAGACTCTCTGTAGACGAGGTATAAGCAAGGACATTTTTATACAAACTAACTTACTTTTCTGATGTGTTGGACTTCATGTATCTTCCCCTTCCTTGCTTTTGCTCTTTTGATAGAATTGATTTTTCTTTCACTTGAATAAGTGCACAGCTAGTATGCTAATCTCACATGAAAGTTAAAGAATTAGGCTAGTCAACAATAAAAGAAGAAAACTCCGATTATATCCTTATTTCTCATGTATCTGTGTAAATATAAATATGTGTGATATCGATAGGTGATTTATAAAGGTATACTGTAATCAAGTTATTCTGGCAAGCTCATAAACCTTAGACAGAAACCTGGGTGACTGGAAGTAGTTTAATAAATACTAGCAACAAACCCCCCCCCAAAAAAATACATAATTTTATCATATTTATTTACGCTACCTCTCTATTTAAAGGGAAACTATAGTGCCAGAAAAACAAACTCATTATCCTGGAACTATAGCTCCCCCCTTTATCAGATCTCCCCCTCCCCCTTCTGTCACTTAGCTGGGTTCAGCTCTGCCCACACACCTCCGCCGGCGGGGGAGACCTAATGTGCATTATTCAATGCTTTCCTATGGGGATTCCGGTGACGCTGGAAGTCCTCATGCATAGCGTGAGGACGTCCAGCGTTGTTTAGGTGATTAAAAGTCGCCTTCAAGCCCAGAAGTCCCTCTAGTGGCTTTCTGGTAGACAGTCAATAGAGGAGGAGTTAACCCTAGCAGGTAATTATTGCAGCATTTCAAGTAAGAGATAAAGTGACATCTCCAGAAAATTGTGAGACTGATGGTGGAACTTGTTAGAGTCATCTGTTTCATACTAGCTTATTACTATGATATATATACAGCACCAACATTTTCATGCAGAGCTTTACAGTCATAGAAAGAGGCTATTTAGAGGTAAAGAATGTCCTGCTGAAATAAATTTCAATCTATGAGGTTTTGAGGTAGGCGTACATAAAGGACATTTAATGGTGAGGTGGTCTGACCTGTATTCGAACCTGGGCAGTGACTGAAACAGCAACTTAAAAACATGTGATTTGTATTTAATAAAAATTTGATAAACATTTTCTGGGTCCTGTTGCTCCTTCTTGTCTTCACAACTGCTTCAACAGGCACGAATCTCCATGCCCAAAACATGTTAACTAAGATCACCACCTTTTGCATGTTACAAAAAATGTTGTATTGTAAAAAATATTATGCTTTGTTTGCTCATCACAATCATTCACTTTTCTGTTTTTTAATAAATTTAGGTGAATGATCAACGTCAAGGCCTCCCTTTCATTCTAAACAATGGTAAGGTTAGAATTTATCATTCGGGTTCGTCAGTGGTTGTTTGGACAGACTTTTCTCTAAAAGTACAGTATGATTGGAACGCTATGCTAACGGTGTACCTCTCCAGCAGCTACTATGAAAATGTTTGCGGATTGTGTGGTAACTACAATGGAAATCCTGCTGATGATCTTGCTATGCCAACAGGCATTCTGGCTTCTACTTTGGTTAACTTTGGGAGAAGCTGGAAAGTAGAAGATTCCAACAGGGTATGTTGGGATGATTGTAATGGAGAGTGTATGACCTGTTCCAGAAAAGCCCAACAAACTTATGAGAGTCAAGAGGCATGTGGAGTAATATCTAAAGCAAAGGATGGACCCTTCAGCGCGTGCCATTCAATCATAGACCCCAAAGTCTATGTGGAGAACTGTGTGTACGATTTATGTATGAATGATGGATCTCAACATATTTTATGTCAAAGCATAAAGGCATATGCTGATGCCTGCCAGAGAAATACAATTCTGATTGGAGAATGGAGACCGTTTGCAGAATGCAGTAAGTACAAATTAAAGATCATTCTATGAAGGAACAAACCTTTAGAATGTAATTTTAAACATACTGGACAATGCTGCAGGTCACAACTTCTCAATAATAACAATTGTAGTGATCCCAAGGTGGCAAACATTTTTCCTATATATAGTCCTGGTTCGAAATACAATATATCTGTTCTTAGATACCTTGTATTGCATGGTTTGTAAACCTCAGTTCTGTGGTAAATTATGGTTCCTTATTGCTGTTTGATGGGTGGACCCAAGGAATTTTACATTAAAATGAAAAGTTATCATTTTGGTTTTAATTAACTTGCAACAGTGAACCATTATCACATGTTGTTCTTTGTTAAATTGTTAATTTCGTATAAGATCTTTGGTCTTGTGTTCATTTCTACTACATGCTACTAGTATGGAATTATAATATTTTTCTTAATATTATCTTTCTCTCCTCCAGCAATTAAATGCCCAGAAAATAGTGAATATAAGCTCTGTGGTAATGCTTGCCCTAAAACTTGCAATGATAATGCTACACCCACGAAGTGCCCTGATCCTTGCGTAGAAACCTGTGAGTGCACAAATGGCTACGTGCTAGATGAGGGTAAATGTATTCCAAAGTTCACATGTGGTTGTGTTTTTGAGGGGAGACATTATTTAATTAATGAAAAGTTCTGGGGGGATGAAAAGTGTGAAAAGTGGTGTGCTTGCAGCTCCACCACCAGAAAAGTTGATTGTAAATCCACTCAGTGTAAAACTTCTGAGATGTGTGGAGTGGTCAATGGCATTCGAAACTGTTACTCCTTGACCTATGGCAGTTGCTCAGTGTTCGGAGACTCCCACTACATTACATTTGATGGGGTGACATATGATTTTCAAGGAACATGCCTCTATCAGTTTGTTGGGGTCTGCAAGAAATCAGAAGACCTGGTGGACTTCAATGTCAATGTTCAAATCAACAACAAACGGGGAACAGTGGCATCTTACATCAGTGCCATACAGGTGAAAGTCTTTGGCTTTCTCATTGTCATCAGCAGACAGTATAAACAACAAATTTTGGTAAGTCCTCAAAAAATGTTCAGGTACATACCAAAGCAAGATTTATCTTCCAATGTTGAAGTAGTCTGTACCTAACATCTTCTACTCTAGTTTAAATCATTTTAACACCATGGATTATTCCAAAGTGAGTTTGTTTTGTTATTCATATATTCAAATATTCTTACTGCAAAGCTTTAGATAATTTAAGACTTGATTTAGTAAGCTTTCCAAGTGATTCAATACTGTTAGAAAACTTTCCCAGTTGATGTATCTACATAAGTCATCATTAAGTTATATGGGATTTTTTGCAGATACATAATTTGGAAAGTTGTTCTTGCCATATTGAATTATTTGGAAAGCTTATTAAATTGAGTTCTTAATTAGTAATATATCTATCTACAAATGTAATAATTTTCTGCATGATTCAGAGAATATCTTTAACATTACAAATCGATCACCTTCTCTCGACTAACTTAAGTGATAGTCCCTAACACATGACTATTTTTTTTTTAGTAGTTCACGAAGATTTCTTTAAGAACCATTTAGATATTCAGTGTGCAATCCACATCTATGTCTGTTTTAATATATGAATTATATTCTTTTTATCATACCTCTCCTAGCTAAATGGGATTTTAACTAGCCTCCCATACATTTTTGACAAAGGGAATATGTCTATCTACAGTCATGGATTTAATGCCGTCATCCAAACAAACTTTGGTTTAAGAGTGGTTTTCAGTTGGAGAAGCCGAGTAGCTGTCACTATTCCCAGTAAATATTCAGGAGCTGTGTGTGGTCTTTGTGGTAACTTTAATGGTGACAAAGCCAATGAATTTGTGACAAATAACAATCAGGTTGCTCCCAACCCAACACTCTTTGGCAAGAGCTGGAATGTTCTATATACGGAAGGATGTTCAGAGGAGGACAAAGGTAACTGCCCCAGAATAGATGAATTTGAAACACGCTATCGCTCAAGCAAGGAAGGCTGTAGGATACTCTTAGATAGAGGAGGACCTTTCCAAGAATGTCAAGACACAATCAACCCAGAAGATTTCTTTCAGGATTGTGTGCTTGATGCTTGCTTCTATAATGGTCTCAAAGAAGTTATCTGCAGGGTGATAGCCAGTTATGCAGCTGCTTGTCAAGAGGCTGGACTTACAATCCACTCATGGAGATCTGACACGTTTTGCAGTAAGTTTTCAACTGACTATAAATTTACAGTTCTTGCCATGTTCATCGATACTTGTGTGGATAGCGAATGTTTTTATGTCACATACAGTCTAATTCACAATTCAGGGACTTTCAACGCCTGTATTGTTTTTCTGCATAATGTCCATGTGAAGCTTTTTAGAACAAATTTCTTGCTGACTGTTTTCCAGAAATGTAAAAATGTGTATGTTCGTATGTGGAAATTTCTCCAAAATCAAAACATTCTTTGACTGTGCTATTTTTAATCAGCTTGGCTTGAACTTATTCATCTAAAACTGGTTGCATTTTATGCAATCTTCTCAATATTAGACAGGTTCTCTACAATACCTTCTTACCACATTATGACAACATATATTTATTTACTGTGCATTATAGGGATAGAATAAGTTATTTTCTATTACAACAAATGCTTAATAAAAATTGTTTGGACAGGTATTCATAAAAAGAAATAGATTCAACATGTGTGACCTTTTATTTTGCTGTCCATGTCAGGTCCTGAATGTAGTAAAAACAGTCACTATGAGGTGTGCGTATCAGCATGCAGCCCGATGTGTCCTAACCTTTCTCCTCCACCGTTATGTGATTCTGTATGTTCGGAAGGTTGTGCCTGTAAAGATGGATATGTTCTCAGTGGTGGAGATTGTGTTCCCATCTCTCAATGTGGATGTAATTACATGGACAAGTACTTCAGGTTGGGAGAAGTATTTTTCCCCGGTGGTCTATGCAATCAACAGTGTACCTGTACCTCAAGTGGTGTAGTAGATTGCAAGGCGTTCTCTTGCGGTGCCAATGAGGAATGCAAAGTGGTTGACGGAGTTCAGAAATGCCAACCTATTGATTACGCCCAATGTTCTGCAGTTGGTGACTCTCATTATGTGTCTTTTGATGGTCTTTACTTTGATTTCCAAAGTACCTGCACCTACACACTGGCCAAGACTGTCACAAACAATGCCAAACTGGTACCCTTTGCAATTAATGTGAAAAATGAGAAGTGGAGTGCTGGCAGAGTGTCAGTTACAGCAATGGTTTCTATTGAAGTCTATGGCTACAAACTTGTTCTTCAGTACAACACACCTGGTAAAATCCTGGTAAGATCTTTATATCTGTTAGTGATTTTATTATATGCTTGTTTAAATTTAAAAAAAGATCAACTTGAGTAGAAAGTTTTCTGTATGTGCAGGCCATCAACAAGACAGTCCGATTCTGACCACTTTTACATTATTAGGTAAATGGAATTGTAAATAACCTCCCATTAAGCTTGGAAGGTGAGATGATCCAAGTCTATCAACATGGTCTAAGTGTTGACATCAGCACAGACATTGGCGTTAAAGTCAGCTATGATCTGATTTATCATGTAATAGTCACTGTGCCAGGAAACTACAAAGACCAGTTGGGAGGTCTGTGTGGCAACTACAATGGTGAAAGAAATGATGAGTTCCAAAAACCTGATAAAACATTAGCCTCTGATGCCATATCTTTTGGGTCTTCCTGGATAGTTCAAATCCCAAATGTGAACTGCGATCATGGTTGTGGTGGAAGTGAGAATCCATGCCCTACTTGTAGCAACAACAAAAGAGCTATATTGGAAACAGATAACTATTGTGGCTTCCTTAAAAAGGGCCGTGGTCCACTGAGTGCTTGTTATGGCACTATTAGCAATGATTACTATTTCCGCAGCTGTATCTCTGAACTGTGTGCCAATCCTGGAGACATAAATATCCTTTGTCAAAATATTCAAAGTTATGTTGCCGCCTGTCAAGCAGCTGGTGCCACAATCCTGCCATGGAGAACCGAGACCTTCTGCCGTGAGTGATCTATCTATCTATCTATCTATCTATCTATCTATCTATCTGTCTATCTGTCTGTCTGTCTATCTATCTATCTGTCTATCTGCCTGTCCTTTGACCTGTCCAAATATTTCTTGCATTAAGTCGTTAGTTTATGCATACAGCAATTCCTGAGTATTCAACCACAAGCTATTCCTATACTCAGATCACTGTCCACCCCTCAACCGTTAAAGTGTTTCCGGAAAGCAAGTACTTTTCAAACAAAATTAACAAATCACATAATAATCTCAGTAAAATACCACTTGTAATTAGAGTTGAGCGGACACCTGGATGTTTAGGTCTGGCGGGTTCGGCCGAACTTTGAAAAAAAGTCCGGGTTCGGGCTCGAACTTGACCCCGAACTTGACCCCAAACACCATTGAAGTCAATAGGGAACCGAACTTTTGGCCACAAAAATGCCTCTAAAAATCTCCTGGAAAGGGCTAGAGATCTGCAAAAGGAAGTAAAATGGGGGTAAGAGTAGGACAAGTGCCCTGCAAACAAATGTGGATAGGGAAATAACTTAAAATAAAAAATTTAATTAATAAAAATTAAAAATACAGCTGAGCCATAAAATACCACTAGATGGAATCTTTGATTTTAGCTTTGCAAGAAGATAAATCAAAATCTAAAGCATGGCTGTCAGAATTATCCATTTTAGAGAGGATTGGAGTGCAGGGTATTCTCTTTCATTGTTCAAACTGAGCTCAACTGATGCATGGAGAAAAGGCCTTCACAAACCTCTGCTATTGTGTACCTAGTTTATACTAAGTGACCCATAGGTTGAGGAGGCGGTGACCATGGCGATGTAGGTGGAAGCGGCGGTTGAGGAGGAGGAGGTAGCCAACACTGTTTTAAATATATATATATATATATATAATTTTATTTTTAATTGGAGTTGCCCCCAAAATATTGGGACATATAAAAAAAAATACATTTGCGGCCTGCGGTGCATTTCTTGCAGTCCTGATGCATGGAGAAATGCTCAACTCCTTATACTAAGTAACCCATAGGTTGAGGAGGCGGTGACCGTGGCGGTGTAGGTGGAAGCAGTGGTGGAGGAGGAGGATGAGGTAGCCAACACTTTTTTTATGTTTGTTTTTCTTTTTGCCTTTCAAAATGCGCCATTAAATCGTCGAACACCGAACTCCAACCCGAAAACATACAGTGATATGTCCGTGTTCAGACCCGGGATCCAAAAAAACGTAATGTTCGGTACGCTCAACTCTACTTGTAATGTTTCCATAACCTTTTACCCAAAATTCACTGTAAAATAAAAAATAATGGCCATGATTTATTACTTTAGGATAAGCTTTTCAAATGATTTAATATTTTGAAAAATATTAAAAAAGTTTGATATATAGATTTTTTTTAGGTGTGATATATTTTGGGCTATTTTAAAGTTTTTTTTTAGAAAAATAATATTTTAAAAGTGTATACAAAAATGTTAAATCGGGGCCAATATTGGATGTAGTTATCATGATTGTACAGAACAATTGCCTTTGATTGCTCAACAACCCTTGGAAATAAAAAAACACAATATCTACCAGAAAAAAAAAATGATTTATGAAATTTTTTTAGTTTAATGGTCTCATAAACACTCCATCACTGCAATTAATGGACATCCCCAGCCAGTCACAAGGCAGAATTATGTCTCCATAATGTCTCGCTGAGGAGTAGTGGGAGTCTGAGCGCAGGACTTATTTTTGTGTATTTGTATTTTTCGCACTGAATTGGCTATAGGTTAAGGAATGTCTATCTACTGTTGTAATTTTTCTTGCAATAACCAATAAAAATAAATAGAAAGTGGGCGAGCTGACACTTCCAAGAGGTCTATAATTTCCATGTAATAAAACATATTTTTTTCACTAATCTTTCCATATTAGCTTTGACTTGTTCACCCAACAGTCAGTACAATATTTGTGTTGATGCCTGCTCCTCATTTTGTGCTGGCCTTATGGACCAGACCCAGTGCCCAGCCTCCTGTGCCGAAGGTTGTCAGTGTAATGACAAGTTCTTCTTTGATGGACATGGATGCGTACCGATGGACAAGTGTGGATGCTTTGAAAATGGGAAATACTATCAGGTGTGTCTCATTGACAACATTCAGACATTTTTTAATCTAACAGACAGAATCAATTGTAACCTTCGCCATGAAAGGGGGATCATAAGCCAGATCTCCTGTGATTATTGGAAAGCACTATAGGACCTAGCTCCTTTTTCCTGGTCTCTACTTCTATGGAGAAATCTACCTTCTGTTTCGTAGTAAATGTAGATTATACTAGCTTTAGTGTACCTATAATCTTAATTTTATTAATGACAGGAGGCGAGTATTTGCTTAAGTCTCTCTTTACTAGAACTCCACAGCAGTACATTAACATAGAGAGAAAACAACCATTCAGAAAAAAGTAAAGTACAAAAAAAGTCTCCTCCCAACCAACTACTTCCTCTTTCAAGCTGCGTCAAAAACAAAGAACAGAAACAATCATATAAATATAACTGTAGTAGTAGGATCCAAATGAGTACAACTGACGACCTTCATCCAGAAGAAGAACTTGAAGCAGATCCGTAGAGGGATCATTAAACTGAAACGAGATAAGCAGAATCGAAAGATTTGGTTAACTAATGAAATGTACTTTAAAAAAACCCATACTAATTCAGACAGTACAAAATCAACAGATAACTCATCCCAAACTTCCCAGAAGAAAGGAAACAAACATGTTAGGTGAGGCCTGAAGAACAATCTACAACCAGAGGCAACCAAATCCATTGACAAAAAGAAAAAGGGGTAGGATGAAACTGGGAGGGAAATATTCGCCACCTGTCATTAATAAATCTAGTATAAAGCTAGTATAATCTACAATTTTATAACATGACAGGAAAGCACTGTGCCCCTAACCGAAGGCGCTCCGAGGTCGAATCCACACACACCAAGAATAACAACTATCTAATCCATTGCGCCAGGGTAGGAGAAGAGATCGGAATGTGAGGTCTTACATAGAAGACCAATAATTGTCCGGAGCGGGAAGGGCGAAGGGGAGAAGTACATAACGAGACGAGCCGCACTACGCAGTTTAGAAACTCTGACTTGCAGAAATATGGGTAGAAGATAGCCGTCAAGTCTGACTTAGTCTGTCTAGACACAGAGAAAGTCACCCCGTCCAGAAAGGGAAAAAGCGTCCACATTGAAAGCCCGGACGTGGGAGACCCATTTAAAGGAAATGAGGCATAGTAGGAGAGCGAATTTTGCTGAAAGCTGTCGGAGGGAAAGGTTCTGATTATCAGGCCAGTCTTGGAGGAAAGACAAGACCACATGCACTTTCTAGAGGGAGTACTTAGGCATCGGAAGCCGTTATAGTCTCATGCCTTGGAGAAGTCTGCAAACCAACAGGTCCTGACCAATGAGGAAACCTCTGAATGGTACATGAGCTGCCGAGATCTCCGACCTGGCCACGTTAACGGAAAGATATGCGCCCCAGGTCAAATAGGTGCTTGAGGAAGTTCAGAACACTTGCTACAGGGGCCGTAAAGGGATCAGTATCTCATTCCAGGCACCAATGATACCAAGAAACCTATGCCGCCAAGTAGCATCTCCTAGTTCCAGGTGCCCAGGAGCCCCAGAGGAGGTTTATAGCAGACTGCATTCCAGGTTCCCCTGAAAGAGTCCAGGCCATTAAGCGGATGGGCTATCCACCATGAGGGGGGAGGATTGTCTCGAGAGTCCGATAGTAGTGTTCGTGTGGATGGCAGAAGGAGTGGATACTGATGGGACAGACCCAGAAGCTCCGGGAACCAAGGCTGACTCTGCCATAAGGGGGTCAGCAATACCAAGAATACACATTGACGTCACACGTGTAACAGTACTCTGGAGAGCATAGCAAATGGAGGAAACGCATAAGGACCTCAAGATGGCCACACCTAAAGAAAAGCATCCACCACCATGCAAGCCAACTGATGTAGGTTGGGACCTGGCAATTCATCCTGGAGGTCCACGATCTTGAGGAAAACAGAATGAAGGAGTCTCCAATCACTGGCAATGTCTGGAGAACAAGTCCGCCGTCAGGTTCGACACCCCCGGAAGATACTCCGTCTGGAAAGTGATGCTGCGTTGGAAGCAGAAGCAGCAGATCTCCTTCATTATCTCAAAAAGCATCTAGGAGCAGGCCCCTCCCAGGTGGTTGATGTATTGTACAACGAGATGTTGTCCATCCTGAGAAGAACGCAACAATCGGAAAGGTGACTCGCTAAGCTCCGGATTGCGAATTATGCCGCAATCAGTTCTAGGCATTTTATATGGTACTCCATCTCCATCTCCGACCAAGGGTCTCCCGTGGAGCTGATCGCACAGGTAGCTCTCCAACCTCAGAGACTGTCATCCGACTCCAGGACAAAATCCGCGGACGGTCCTAAAATTGCCTTGCCGTTCCAAGCCAACATGTGAAGCAGCCACCAGCACAGTGCTGTCTTGACATCCAGAGTAAGGTGAATCACTTGGTCGTAGGAGGGTCTCCTGCAGAGGAAATGGGCCTTCCTGCATTGCATGGCCCTGTAGTAAAAGAGAACACGGTGGATCGCCTGGATCGATGTGGAGAGGAGGCCCCTTATGCGAGCCAGCATCCTTAGTGGGATCTGGTCCTGATGCAGGACCCTCATGATTTCCTTTCGAATGGTCGAGATTTTGGACTGAGGGAGGCGTAGGAGGCACTCCCTTGCAGCTATTTCAAAGCCCAAGAATTCGATCACCTGCGTTAGTGAGAGGGTCGACTATTCTCGGTTGACCGCGAAACCTAGCAACTTGAACAAGGAGACCAAAGAGAGCATGTGATAATTCAGCCTGGAGGGCTCCACGCAAAAGATCTGTAAATCATCCAAATAGATGATACAACAAATACCCTCGGATCAAAGGCGTGCCGTCACAGGTTTCAACAGTTTGGTGAAACACCACGGTGCCAAGCTGAGACCAAAAGGGAGGCAGATGAATTGACAGGGTATGTCTTTCCAGAGGAACCAGAGGAACCAACGGAATTAGGGGTCCACCGGCACCGAGAGATAGGCGTCCTTCAGGTCCAGTCTAGTGAGCCAATCCCCTGGGCAGAGGAGGTCCAGCAGGAGATGGATGCCCTCCATCTTGAAATGATGGTAAACCACAAAGGCGTTCAGGCTTCTCAGGTTGATCACCGAGGGCAAGTCCCCGGATTTCTTCCTTACCAGAAATATGAAGCTGAAGAAACCCCCGTTGTCCCGTGCCCGCTGGACTGCGCCCTTTTTGAAAAGGGCTAGAATCTCTGCATCTCTCAGGGACTGTTGTTCCCTCAAAGACACGGGAACCGGCAGAAGGTGAATCTGCGTCGGTGGGGAATGAAAATCTGTGACATAGCCCCAAACCGTCTGAAGCATCCACGCATCTGAGGAATCCTCCTGTCACAAATCTAGAAGTGAAACGACCTGCCTGCATGCAACAGAGTGGGTGGAGAACTGGCAGAAATGGGTCTCACCTGCAAGCATCCTTGCTTGTCCGCTAGCCCGGCTCAATCTACCTCGGTCCAACTTTTGGGGGTTGAAGGTCTGCGAGTGGTAGGATGGGAAGAAGGAGGGAGCATGGGATCCTTGGTGGCCAGGCGGCCAGAATCGGCTGGCAACCCAACCCCGCTGTCGTCCAGCCCTGCCAAAAACACGGGAGCTTTTTGGACGGAAGACCCTCTTCATTGAGGACTGGGCCTTGCTTGGGGTGGTGAAGAGGTTCACATGTTTATGAAGTTCCTTGATGAAGGGTTCTCCATAGAGTAGACCCTTAGCTAGGGGGCCCAGTACTTTTAACCTCAAGTCTGACAATTTGGCATCCATGCGTAAGTGGACTACCTTCTATACTCTGTGCAGAGCGCTATATTGGTGTTGCCCAGCAGGCAAATAAAGTGCAGATCCCAGTCCTGTATGGAAGCTGAGTCCAGGGCAGCACCCTGTGAAAAGGTCCCATCAGCGAGCATGAGTATCCTGGCCAACAGGTCCATCAGTTTATCCTGTGCCAGTTTGAGGCTGTGCTTGACCTCTTTCTTGGGGTCACTCCTGTTATGGGTCATGTAGGTTGAGACCATGGGGTCAAATTCTGGGGTCAGGGCAACCTTATCTGGTAACACGGGCCTGGGGCATTCCGCCTACCGTACTCTCCTCCGAACCTCCAAGTCTGTGGACCAAGTAGTACACAAACTGTGCCAGGTGGTCAGGCAGTGACCATTCATAGGATCCGAGATGCCTGATGGACTGTAGGTTGAACAGGGGTTCGCCCGTGTCATCCAGGAATACATCTTTGTCCAGTAGGGAGGCAGGTTTCCTTTGTCTAGATGATTCACCAGAGTCATGGGACCACATGGGGTCGTCCATGTCGTCTTCATCCCCCCTGTCTTCCCCCCTGGCTGCCTGCCATTCATCTATTATGGCCATGGGTGGGGGGGTAATGGGTCCTCCGCCCCCTGGTCGGAGAGGCGCCTACACCGGGGAGGCGAGTTTTAGACCACCGGTCCCTGTCTCTTCGCTGGAGCCTTGCCCTTCTGGGAGTGTGGCTTAGGGCTATCACCCTTCCAATTGCACTTCTGCGCTCTTGCCTGATCTCTCCTGTCAGAGTCTGACTCAGCCGAGTCTTCTGTAGACTGGGGGATCCCTTTAGAGCCCCAATCATGTGCGGTTTGTGGGAGTGTCCTGGCTAGCGCATTTTCAACAGAGGCGTACACCACCACATTAATCATGGCCTGTAAACTTTGTTCTTGGGTCGACAGCTCCATAGCAGGGAGACTGCTTGCAGACAAGTGTCACAAGCATAATAACCAGGGCGGTATCCCAATACTATGGCAAAGGCAAGATGTGTTGCGCATGCAAAGTACAAGAGTACGTATGTATATGGCAAGACTGGTATCACCCAGTGGCAATGGCACAGACATCACAGGCCAAATCAAGGGGCACAGACAAAGCAGGCCAATCAAGGGGGCACAGCAGAGCAGGCCAATCATGGGAAGAGTTATGGGCAGGTCAAACCCCTTAGATGGACAGACCTGAGGTTCAAATCGGTGTAGTAATAGGTACAGTAAGGTTAATCAAAGGCAGGCTGGCAGGCAAGGATGGACTTCCGTGTTAGGATTGCAGGATATAAAGCTGAATGGAGCCTCTTTCGTGAGTGTAAGTTTGGTGCCACAAGGTACAGCTGTAGACCCCTTTAGTACAGTAGTTGTGGCACCAACAGTGACTATAGGTACCGAAATCCCCCCCTGTACCTGAAATAGTAGAAGCCTCCGTGTGGGGAAGGTCATGGGGGTAAATCACCCTGGGGTGGTAGACCCACACTTCCCTCTCCGCCCCTGTTGCCCGTGGGTCGTGATTCCAGTAGATTTTTCACAGCCCGGTGAAGGGAGGTGAGCGGCAAAAAGCGAGAGAGGGGGCGGAACTCCACACATGGGGCTGCCAGAGACATACTCGGCAGCACCGGCCGCCAGGAGTTCAGGGAGGCGACTAAATGGCCACCTCCCGTGATGTCCACACGAGGGGGGAACACAGAGGTGGAAACAAACAGGATGAAAGCAAGGAGAACAAAGGCAAACTAATGATACTTAATAGTGCAAAAGGCTAAAGAACACAGCCAATAGCAGAGTACATATAACAACTATAACTCAAATAAATATAAATAAATATAAATAAATAACAAATAATTAATTAATAAATAGCAGATAAATCTCACAGCCACCCACTAAGAGCAGGAGGCAGTGGTACTCTGAATGTGCTTGATGTGGAGCTGCAAAGAAAGAGGAAGTAGTTGGTTGGGAGGGGACTTTTATTGTACTGTACCTTTTTTCTGATTGGTTGTTTTCTCTCTATGTTAATGTGCTGCTGTGGAGTTCTAGTAAAGAGAGACTTAAGCAAATATGAAGCCTCCTGCCATGTTATAAAATTAGTTTTACTATACTCTAACACAAATTCTACTAGAATTTTATATTATTTATACTTTTTTTTTTTTTTAATGTCTTTAATTCAAGAGTTCCAGGTACTCGGGGGTATAATGACGTGTTTCTAATGAAACTTAGTGCATATTACACTAACTGAATAAAGCATTGGATTTTATTTAATTAACCCATGGTGTTGTTTTAATTACCCAAGCTCCTGGAGACTATATTATCCAATGACTGTACAACAGTCTGTACCTGTAGCTCCTCTGAAAACCTTTCCTGCATGGAGACAAACTGCACTATTGATGAGGAATGTCAGATTGTGGATGGAATTGTGGGATGTACCAATAAAGGTAAAATAAAAATATAAAATGCTTTGCCTTAATATATTTCAGTTATTTTACAGGCAGTACTGAGTAGTATAGTACAACTAAATATTAGTACAATGTAAATAGTACAACAAAAGTTTAGTACAATGTAAATAATAAAATGAAATATTAGTGCAATGTAAATAGTGCAACGAAATATTAGTACAATGTAAATATTCACATACAATATTTTTTTTTTATCATTTCATTGTTTAATGTGACGCACAATCATCGTTATTTACTAAAATCAGAATTTAAATTACATTTAAAATTTATGGTCAGAGTAGCAGACTTAGAGAATTTTTCCAGTTTTGCTATTTTGAACGTAAATTTGAAATTCACTTTGAATTCTTGCATCAGTAAATAAATGAATTCAATTATTTAAATGAATGTGTTTGATGTCTGAATGTGTTTGTGTTCCTATAAGTGCGTGCATGCATGTGTGTGTGACTGCATCTTTAATAGTGCTGGTATGTATGTGCACACATGTTTTTCTATGAGTGTGTGGCAATATGAGTTTTTGTGTGTGCTATTGTGTGCCTGTATGTGTGTACAATTGTGAGTGTGTATAAATGTATAATATGTGTATATCTACGAGTCATTATCTGTGTGTTTTATGTCATTGTGTGTGAGTGTGTCTCTATGAGTTGTGAGTGCCTTTTTGTAAATATAACATTAAGTAAAGGAAACAATATGAGTGATTCAACAGGATACATTTTGTTTTGCATTCCTGCACACAAAAAAAACACGTTAGTCCAGGAATCCACTTTGCTGGGAGAGAAGAGATTAAACTATGATGTAGAGGTTTTATACGATTGTAACAGAGGTGGGATAGGATGTATAATAGTGCAACTGAACAATTAATATACATTAGGTAATTAGATTAATAGAATATATATAATACATTATCTAAATAATTAGTTAAACGATTACATTTAAAATCCATTAAATATAATTTCCCCGGCTTTATGACTGACTCCAGTAAATCCTGATGCTCTTAGACCCAGACCTCAGAGTAAAACGTGTAATTATACAGTAAGCATACTCACATGCAGACACAGACAATCTCACTGACACACACAAGCTCAATGATACACAGCCTCAAAGACAAACAATCTCACTGATATACATAAGCTCATTGACGTAAATGCCCACTCCCTAGCAGGCGTACACAAACACACAGTTTCATGCAGTGGTTCTGGTGTCTATAGCCTGTCCCTGCAGGCTTTTCAATGTAAACACTGACTTTTCAGAAAAAAGGTAGTGTTTTCCTTGCTTCCTAGTGACAGATGGTCACTAGAGGTGCTTCCTGTGAAAGTGAGGATTGGCTGAGATCATCAAGCTTGATAATCTCAGCCAGAAAGGCAGGGCCAGTTCAGGGGAGACCAGCATGACGTGGGAAAAAAAAAGGTGAGTAAAAACACTATTTTTAAAAACACACACAGACACACACATACACTGTGACACACACAGACACACATACCATGACAGACACACACACACCTTGACAGACACACACCTTGACAGACACACAGCATGACAGACAAACACAAACACACACCACAATGACAGACATACACACATCTTTACAGACACACACATACCATGACAGACACACACACCAGGACACAGACAGGCCATGACACAGACACACACAGACCGTGACACAGACACACACAGACTGTGACACAGACACACACACTGTGACACAGACAGACACACACACCATGATACAGACACACATTACATGACACAGACAGACACACACACACACACACACACCATGACACAGACAGACACACACCAGGACACAGATATACACACATACACTCACACTGACACACATAATTGCTACCTGTGTGCAGACAGCTGTCTGTGCTGGTGGCTGCAGGGGGAGCAGCTGCCAGAAGAGCCAGCTCCTCCCTGCGGCCGCCAGAAGAGCTTGCTTCCCCCTGCAGCCGCCAGAAGAGCCAGCCCCCCCTGCAGCCGCAGGTCAGCCAGCTGTCTACCCGGCCCCAGGTGCTGACGGCTCACAGGGAAATTTCCTAGTATCCTGGTGTTTCAGTTCGGCCATGCCCAAGAGGCACTGGGCATAGAACTCAATCAGTCCTTGGTAATAAAAGCAGAGTGTGTGTACATGCATATTCAATACAGAACCCACTTCACAATACAGCTGTCAGATTTCCATTCAGTAGAATAGTTATGCTAGATGTATGCACGATGAGCTAGAAGAATCCACTGGTATTAACCATACTACAGGGAGTTAATATCTGAGGAAGCTAAATATCTAGTAACATACACAAAAAACAGGATGAGGTCATTTATTTATTCTTTTCACTTTAGCTACTAAATAATTTCCTAAATTTCACTTGGATAAAAAAATAAAAATTAAAAATAATATATATATTTTCAGATCCTTGCAAATCCTTAAAATGCAGAACCAAAGAGACCTGCCAAATTCAAGATGGAAAACCAGTCTGTGTTCCCGACTATACTGGTACCTGTTGGGCATGGGGTGACCCCCACTATCACACATTCGACGGTTACATCTATGACTTCCAGGGCACCTGTACGTACATCCTATCTAAGTACACTGGAAATTATCCCACTCTGGTGCCATTTACAATCGAGATGACAAATGAAAACAGAGGGAGTCAAGCTACATCGTCTGTCAGAACAGTTTCTATTTACACATATGGATACAAGCTGTCCATTGCCAAGGGGGAATTTGGCACGGTTAGGGTAAGTTTATAATAAGAACAAACTCTTCAGAATTTGCAGGGCTTTGAAATTAAGTCTACATCTAATAGACATAGAGATTAGTTTAGTTATAAACGGCAGTTAATCCAAATTTGGGATAATCCGGTGATCGAACGAATTCCTGAACTCCGAGCAAAATTGTAACTGAATTATGATATAAATAAGTTGCTCAGTGGCCAATCATGGTCTCTTTAATCTCTGATTCGGAATTCTAGGATGCTGATTGATGACTAGAGGACAGACAATAAATGCTGATTTTGTTAACAGATCACGTATATATATCTTGCCGTACACTGGCCTATTTCAGCGTCCTTTTGATTTCTCTGATTAATTTTCCAAATTATTTTTTCATTACCGAAATTCAAAGAGTCAAACCACAATGTGGGCAAAATTCAGCCTTCCCAAATTATTTTCTGAAATAATTGTTAGGCTGAAACGCATTTGCTTGCTGTGCACAACACTAATATTGGATGCAGATCTCAATAATCACCCCCTCATAGTATGCCACTCTCCAATGAGTCAGAATGCAGCCGTTAACGGTATCCCCATTATTCACTCTGACTCACTATCAATGCTGGATAGCCAGAGAGCAAATCAAATGGTCTAGCATGGAGGTACACACACCTTACACACACACACACACACATTACATACAGGGAGCACACACCCCCACCACACACATTACAAACAGCCAGCCCACACAATACATATTACATACAGCCAGCACATACAGACACATTACATATAGCCAGGGACAACCCCCCACACACATTACATACAGCCAACACACCACACATATCACATACAGCCAACACACACCACACACATTACATACAGCCAGCATTCACTACACACACATATATTACATATAGCCAGCACACACCATACACACATTAAATATTTTTATTATTATTATTATCGGCATATATATATATATAGCACCAACAAATTCCGTAGCGCTTTATAATATTATACAAGGGGGAGATTTACCAATAAATGAGACAATTAAAAAATTTAACAGGAATAATATGTTGAAGAGGACAGTCTAGAGGAGGGAGGGATATGGAAATTCTTATTATTTTTTTTGTACATCTTGCCTTGAGAATCACAACAGGACAGGGGATACCAATCAAACAAGGTGAGAGTGAAGCAAAGCGGGAGAAGAGAGTAGAGTGTTGCCCTATAGGAGAGAGCAAGGGACAGGTATGTGTACAGCCAGCACACACACACACATTAGATACAGCCAACACACACACACACATACATTACATACAGCCAGCACCAGGGACTTTTTAGCCGCGAGGCAAACAAGGCATTTGCCTTGGGGGGCATTTTCCAGGGCAAATGCCTTGTTAGCATTGCAGCTAACTGACCAGCCGGTTGGGCGTGCTGGCGGGCTGGCGGCTGGTGAGGGAGCACTTCCCCTGAGCTGTCTGCTCAGCAACCTCGCGCACCACAGACTGATACCGGGAACCGGAATATGACGTCATATTCCGGCTCCCAGCCTCAGTCTGCAGAGCGCAAGGGAGCTGAGCAGACAGCTCAGGGGAAGCGCTCCCTCTCCAGCCGCCTGCCTGCACGCCCAGCAGCCACTGGACCCCAGGGAGGGAGGGAAACCCCCCACGCCCCAGCATTCCCAAAGGTAAAGAGGCTGGGGCTTAAATCAATAAATAAATATGTTAATTTGAGTGAGTGTGTGTTATTGAGTGTGTATCTGTTAGTGAGTGTGAGTGTGTCTGTTAGTGTGTGTGTGTCTGATAGTGAGTGTGTGTGTGTCTGATAGTGAGTGAGTGTGTGTCTGTTAGTGAGTGTGAGTGTGTCTGTTAGTGTGTGTGAGTGTGTCTGTTAGTGTGTGTGTGCCTGTTAGCGAGTGTGTGTGTGTATGTTAGTGTGTGTGTCTTAGTGTGTGTGTGTTAGTGAGTGTGTGTCTGTTAGTGAGTGTGTGGGTATGTTAGTGTGTGTGTGTCTGTTAGTGTGTGTGTGTGCGTCTCATAGTGAGTGTGTGTTAGTGAGTGTGTGTCTGTTAGTGAGTGTGAGTGTGTCTGTTAGTGTGTGTCTGTTAGTGTGTGTGTCTGTTAGCGAGTGTGTGTGTGTATGTTAGTGTGTGTGTCTTAGTGTGTGTGTGTGTGTGTTAGTGAGTGTGTGTCTGTTAGTGAGTGTGGGGGTGACTGAGTTTTGTCCTGCCTAGGGCAGCATCAAAACCAGGATACACCACTGGCCAGCACACAAACTCACAAACACACACACTCTACAGCTGCAGTAACTCAGCCTTTCATCCATCTGAGGTTAATTTAGATGTGTAAAAACAATAACATTGTGACCCTCGGATTAGTTATTTCTCACACACACGGATTATATACCGCCAGCACACACACACATTAAATACAACCAACATACACACACACATTACATACAGCCAGCACACACACACACACATTACATATAACCAACATACACACACACATTACATACAGCCAGCACACACACACATTACATACAGCCAGCACACACACACATTAAATACAACCAACATACACACACATTACATACAGCCAGCACACACACACACACACACATTACATACAACCAACATACACACACACATTACATACAGCCAGCACACACACACACACATTACATACAGCCAGCACACACACACACACAGTACAGCTGCAGTAACTCAGCCTTTCCTCCGCCTGAGGTTAATTTAGTTGGGTAAAAACAATAACATTGAGACTCTCGGATTAGTTATTTCTATATGGAAATTCTTATTATATTTTTTGTACATCTTGCCTTGAGAAAGAGCTTATTGCGGAAGTGTTAAATGCTTAATTTTATCACTATGTTGAATCAGCGTGGTTATCAGATCATGACCCACCTGAGGCTAGTTGGCCAATATGTCAGTGATATAATAAAGCAAAACACACTTCACAATAGTTCAGGGACACTCACCTTGCCTAGGTAACAATTTAGAAGCAAATCTTAGTGGGGTTTAGGTCTGCAACTGGGGCTGACAGGTCATTAGACGGGGACATACTGTGGTAGAGAGTTCTTGAATAATACTCCTCATGTTTAGTTTTCTTCATTGCGATGTGTTTTTCATTGTTATGCAACTGACATACGTCATTTGATGTAAAATACTAAATTATCTCATCCCTTCTAGATAAATGACATTATAACTAATCTACCTGTGATGTTACTTGATGGGAAGATCTCCATTAGCATAAGTGGCCTTAATGCTGTAGTGAGTACGGACTTCAGTCTGCAAGTCTCGTATGAATATGATGGACGTGTTGTGGTCACACTGCCCAGCAGCTATTATGGGGCCACTGGTGGACTGTGTGGTAATTTTAATCAGAATAGCGGAGATGAGCTTATTGGCATTGATAACATACCAGTCACTTCAATCATAGACTGGGCCAAGAGCTGGAAAGTCAATGACAGGGATCCATTCTGCTTGGATGTCTGCCCTGGAAACTGCTCAACTTGCAATGAGAGCGAAAAGAACCTGTATGAAAGCAACCAGTTCTGTGGTCTCATCAGTGGGACTGAAGATGGCCCCTTTAGGGAATGTCATGCTAAAGTTAATCCAGATGAATTCTTCAACAACTGTATCCATGATGTCTGTACTCATGGTGGTGCAAAACAATTTCTGTGCCAGGCTCTTAGTGCTTATACTGATGTCTGCCAGAGACAGGGTGCTAAAATCTACGACTGGAGGACACCTTCTGAATGTTGTAAGTCATGAGGCAAGAAGAGATTTCTCATACAGTAGACTCTTCAATGTTCAACCAAACGTAGTTTGTAAAATTAGAGGTTATATTTTATATATTACATTACAATACAGTCATAATAAATAGAATGTCCATATCTTGCCCTCATCCATAAAAATCTGAAAAATATTACTCATGACATGTATGAAGAACATATTTATGTGATAGTACCATGTAATGTATATAAATATAGATTTACCCTTTATTTCAGCTCTGAGTTGCCCTCTTAACAGCCACTATGAATTGTGTGGCAATGCCTGCCCAGCCAGCTGCTTTTATCAAACTGCCCCAGCTCGATGCACCAATTATTGTGTGGAGACTTGCCAATGTGATGATGGCTTTGTCCTCAGTGCCGATAAGTGTGTTCCGGTTGGAAAATGTGGTTGCAGCTACAATGGAGCCTATTACAGGTCTAGCCAGCAATTCTGGTCTGATCAGAAATGTTCTATGCTTTGCAAATGTGACCCAAATGTTGGTTTTGTGATTTGTGCAAGAAGTCGCTGTAAAGCAGATGAGGAGTGTAAGGTGCTACATGGAATCCGCAAATGTCAGCCCAACAGCTTTTCAACCTGTTCCAGTACCGGTGATCGTCATTACACAACATTTGATAGCATGAGATTTGACTTCATGGGCACCTGCATGTACCAGCTAGTAGGCGTCACCTCCAGCGATTCATCTCTTATTCCTTTTGTTGTCATTGAAAGGAAGAAGAGTCGTGGAAACAGGGTTATATCATACACCAAGGTCATCACTCTACATGTCTATGGTGTGATTATAACCCTTAGTATGGATTTCCCCTATCATATTCTGGTATGTATAACTTTTAGGGCAACTGTAGAAGTTTGGGTCAAGAATAGACCATAGTGTCTGTATTATATGGTATTAAATCAATGCAGCATTCTGATAATACCTAACAAGGCTCCTGGCATTTGGTGGCCTCTGTTTTTATCAAGTACTAGGAAATTAAATAGATCAATGTATTCTTTCCCACCATTGGTGTACTACTGAAGGCTGGTGTCCTGCAAGCCAGAGAAGATTATTGTGATTAAGGATGACAATAGTTCTTCCTACCCAGGAACAGTCTTTATGATTACTTCCTGGCAGCCCATGCAGTGCACCAGTGCCCAACAGTATTGACAAGCAAAACGTTTCTAGATAGTTCAAATAAACGTCTCTTATTTTGAGGGAATTTGAGAATGAGCACTTCTCTGTCCTATTATTATCTGATCTATCCCACTCTATATGAACCCTGTATGCTGGAATACATGATGACATGGTCCTGCTGTCATGGGGGTCCTTTACAAAGTGCATGGACAGAGAGAACCAATGATGAAAGTATTCAGAACTCTGACTCCCTCTACTATAAGCCCATTACCACAGATGGTGAACAAGAAAGATGTGCCTTGCTTTGTGTGTGTCTCTGTAAGAGTCATTCTGTGTCTGTTAAAGTGATTATTTGTCTGTAAGAGTAATTCTGTGTCTGTAAGAGTGATTATGTGTCTGTAAGAGTCATTCTGTGTCAGTAAGAGTGATTCTGTGTCCGTAAGAGTGATACTGTGTATGTAAGAGTATCAATGTGTGAGTTTCTGAGTGTATCTACGATTGTTTGTGAAAGTGTCTGTGTCTTTTCTCCTATGTTCTGGCTTTTTGTACATTATTTGCTGCATATTGACTCTATTGGTTTGGTAGTTTGAAACTAGCGAACACCGACCACCCTCCTGGCTCATTAACTTCCAAAGATCCGTCTATTAAGCGCTCTCTCTGGGCGGCCGCTGTTCGTATAGCTGAATGCCACGTGGAACAGAAAACGGCTGCCATCTTGTTCGCACGAAAGGAGGCAGTGGGACTTGGTCGTCGAGTGTCTGGAACTAAAATCGGACACTTGACCCCATGAACCACCGCTGAAACTACCAAACGCCTGCTTCCTTTAGTTGCCGAACTGCCAGGAGAGCGCCATTTGGTAGTTTTGTGCAAACGGACAAGGGGAGTAATCGCTCCTATGAGCCAGGAGGATCCATTCGGTACTTTCTTCGGTTTTGACCTTTTTCTGAATTGACCGACCGCACACGCTGAATTCGTGGAACTATTTTGGGCAGGAGCCTCGTGTGTGGTCGGTAAAATATGACTTCCACACTTTTTAAGAACCCCTGAACCGATCTGGGTGAAATTTGGATATGTTGGTCTCCCAGATCGGGGCTATCAGGGGATAATTTGCGGGGATACCTTGTGGGGAAAGGGGAGTTCTATGTTTTGGGGAAATCGTGTGCTCTCTGCCTGGAGATAATTGGTTTATTCCTTAACTTATCTCAATATCTCCCAGGCAGAGATAGGGCAGGAATTACTGTAAATCTGTAGGTTGATTGGTTGTTGTCTTTGTTTGCTGTGGGAGGTCCTCTTGCAGGAGGATTTCTTATAAAAGCCAGTGTGTTCTCAATAAAGATCAGTTCTGTTACACCCTTTATGAAGTCTAGGCTCATGTTTGGGGAATATTTCATCTGCTGAGGAGAATCATCTTGGAAGCTGCATTCATCTTCACTATTCCTCTAATTCTTTCCTTATGCTCAGCCCTAAGGAAAGGAATAGAAGACTGCAGTACCATAACCACTGCAGATCTTAACAATGTCTAAGAATACATGAGTTAGTATGAATGATTAATGAAGCATGTTGGGGAGTGTGGCAAACCTAGCCACTTCAGACTATTCTTTTATATCTCTAGTGGTTGTCGTGAAAAGGCTGTTTAACCTAGGTTGTTTTGTGTGTTCGCTTGTAGAGGTGATAGAGGACATTCGTATGCTAGTGGCGTGAAAGCCACTAGCATTCATATGGTAGTTTCACGAACAGTGACTTTCAACACTGTTCGTGAAACGAACAAAGTACCGAATGGGAGACCACACACAGGAGGTCGTGTGGCTCCCATTAACAGATTGCAACATTGTAGCATTCCCCAGTTAATAGATTTGTGGGGTGGCCGCCGTTCAGATACCGACCACGCGGTGGCTGCCATCTTGGAATCACTTTTACCCCAGCGGTGTTTGGTTGTCGAGTGTCTGGAACTAAAATTGGTTACTCAATGGCACGTACACCGCTGAACTTCCAGACTGCTCGGGAACACCGGTCTTTCGGTACTTTTGCTCAAACTATGTATTTGTGTCTTTTATTGAGAATTCATATTAAAATGTATTTTGTGTGGCGTTCTGCTAATTGTGCTGGGATCTGAGTGGCAATCTACCGAAATATGCGCTCAGATCCCAGCTATCTACCCATATGTCATTCGTTCCAATAGCACGAATAATGTGCCAGTTACATATTTTTGAGTGAAAAGCCGGTTCTGCTGTACGGAGGGATAGTCTACGTAACAGGATATTCTGTGGGAGCATCCCTCTCGTACAGCAGTGCATGGTGGGAGAAATGTCCTGCATGTTCAGTTCCCCATGTAGTCCCCTACTGTATAGCCCTGCAAAGTGACTAAGGAAAACCCTTGCATGGGGAATCACATAAATATTGGAGCTTGTGAATAAAATTCAGCTGACTCCCAGAACTGTGTTTCGTCCGGTTACTGGGGGATTTGGGATATTGCCTTCATTTTCAGCGCTTTACTTGGATTACTTTCTTTTACCAGTGGAGATATTGGGATTTAATATTGCAGCTCCGCTACTGGGAGTACTAAGCGTTACGGAATATGTTGCTGTTTTTGAAAAATGTTATTATAATTATTATTATTATTTTTATGAATTGGTGAGCGAACTCAAAATATTTTGTTGCCCTTTATAACTCTTTCTATACACATGAATAATTGGTTGAAGTCCTAATTCAACACCCTTGGAGGTTTAGCAAGCATAACATTGTAGGATATTAAGTGTGTCTGTAAAGTACATAATGCTTAGTATGCTTTGTTTTTTATTTTTTTTGGTTTTTAAATATCCTTTTTTTTTTTTGCAAACTAAAACTTTGTATGGAATTTCAGATATTTTATAGAGAATTTCCCACCCCTTTACAAGCACAAAATCCCGAAAAATACAATGTAGGCGGATTATCCTGATGTCAGCACTTTCCAGAATTATCTTCTAGAAATCTAAAACGTGCATAAAATGAGCTCAGTGCAACTGATAATACTGGGTGATTGTCTGCCTATTGTAAACCCAGCTGTTTGTGTTTCTTATCTAGATTGATGGGGTGCTCACTGCAATCCCCTTCTACTATCAAACCAACAAAGTGGCTGCATATATGAGTGGGAGCCAATGTGTCATAAAAACAGATTTTGATGTCACTGTAACCTATGATTGGAATAGCTATGTGTCAGTCACTGTACCAAGCTCTTACTCCAATGCTGCCGTGGGTTTGTGTGGTAATTTTAACCAGAATCCCAGTGATGATTTCACCATGAAAAATGGGACTGTTACAACCAATGTGGTGGAGTTAAGTAATAGCTGGAAGGTAGGTCGTGTCAGTGGGTGCACCTCAGAATGTACTCAAAACTGCCCACAGTGTTCAGAGTCTCAGAAAGAAAATTACAGGACTGAAAAATACTGTGGAATTATTACCAATACCATGGGGCCGCTAAGTGACTGTTTTTCTGTCATTGACCCAAAACCTTATTTTGATGACTGTGTGTTTGATACATGCATATACATGGGTCACCCATCCTCATACTGTGCTGCCATCACCCTCTATGTGTCTTTCTGTCAGGCTGCTGGGGGCAAAGTCCAAGAATGGAGATCATCTACTTTCTGTCGTGAGTTCCTTTGAGATTCTTTCCTTCTTTTTTTTTTATAATATTAGTGATAGAACATAGCACTGTGCCCTTCTAATGCATGTATCTCATCAGCACAGGTATTCTGACTATTCTGAGGGTCTTGTTGCTTGTAGCAGGAATGGGACATAATTCAAAATTCCAGTGATCAGAATCAAGTTATTATAGTTGACAGTAAAATGATGATCATTATTATTATTTTGTCTCCACTTATCAGCCTCTCTGTCTCTCTTATCTTGATAGCTCCATCGTGCCCTAGGAACAGCCACTATGAATTATGTGGAAATGGCTGCCCTGCTACATGTTATGCCCTATCAGCCCCTGTTAGTTGTACATTTCAATGTAAAGAAGGCTGTTACTGCAACAATGGCTTCATCCTGAGTGGCCAGACGTGTGTTTCCATTGTCGAGTGTGGCTGCATCTACCAGGAAAAATATTACCAGCAGAATAAAGTTTTCTACCCAGACGACAAATGCAATAGAATATGCACATGTAGAAAGAATGGGATTGTGAAATGTGAGGAAGTACAATGCAAAGATAACACAGAATGCAGTGTGGTCAAAGGAGTCCGTGGCTGTTATGGAGTGGGACGTGGCACATGTGTGACTTATGGAAGTTCTCACTATGTTTCCTTTGATGGCCTTGCCTTTGATTTTCAAGGCACGTGTGCATACACTCTTTTAAAGACAATGCTCTCTGCCTTCCCAATGCCAGTGTTTTCTGTTACGGTGGAGAATGAACGTTCTGAACAAGTGACAGTGACAAGAATGTTGGTAATCTCTGTGTACGGATATTCTGTGACTATAGATAGAGAAATAACATGGAAAGTGAAGGTAAGTTAGTTGCTGAAAATATGCACTGTGAGAACAAATACTCGTTTAAAGTGATCTGGAGATCCACATACAAATGTAAAGCTATACTTAGCGGTAGCTTGCTTATACTATGATACAATGGCTATTAATGTAAGGGATGCGAGGTTGTGGTATGTCACATGAGGCCAGGATCGGTGCAGCCACCTGTGGAAACCATACTGTAAAGGGAAAAAAAGAATAACAAAAAACAATGAAAAAAATAATAAAAAAAACAAAACTAGGAGCATTTCCATTCCTTCCTTAAATGAGTTCACTCGTTCACCATAGAAACCTTTTAGATTTGATTTTAGAATGGTCATTCCATTAAAAACAAATCTAATGAGTTTTTATGGCAGACAAATCGATTTATTTAAGAATGAGTGCAACAATGCACATTTCTAACTTATTTGAAATATGTGATACCTAGCTAGCTTATAAATATATAATACAACCTCAATTTGTGTCTACAGTGCTAAGCTGACAAACTTGTACATTAACACAATTTTTATTTTTCACTTATTCGTTTAGCCTTTATAAAAATATTTGGGAAATTAAAAGCTTTACACATAATTCACTGTCATTTATCTTCAGTGGCGTATACACCATCCACGGGGCCTGGTGCGAAACTGATCCATTTTCCCCCTCTGACTCCCTGTCCTTCCTCCCGCGCGGGCTCTGTCTGATTGCTGGGAGGAGTGACCGGGGCAGTAACTTCCTCCCAGCTCTGTCTGATGTCATCACAGGGAACCCTTGCTGCGCGGGCTGGAGCCGCAAAAATGGCGGCTGGTAGAGGGCCGCAGCCAGGGCAACCAGGCCCCCTGGAGTGACGGGCCTGATCGTAGCTGCGACCCCTGCGACCCCTATATGTACGCCAGTGTTTATTTTGCAACACAGTGTTTGAAATGTTAGTATGAAACCAGAAATACATTTTTTTCTCACCTGCAGTAGGTGATAGATAATCAAAATGGTCAAATACCTTGCTTATTGCAAAGACCCAAATATATAACTAGCTGTATACCTTATTGACAATGGTAACAGAATGTAAAAATAATGTAAGGAAACCAAGTGCATTTAAACCTTAATCGGTAGTTTCCTCCCGAACCGCCAGAGCCCAGTGAATATAGCCCTCCGTCCGGTAGTTATGGTAGACGAATTCCCAATTGTAAATCCAATAGTGTCCCTGGATAATTCCCACAGTAAAACACACAAACTCCCAAACAGCATACGTAGTCAGAATAAGGGTACAAAGATGAACTGAAGGTGTAATGACAGGCATGCTCTTTTTATGGAATTCTGCCCATGCAAGGGAGCCTCCCATATAATTAGCCATACATCCAATCCTAACAATATACATACTGTACATCTCCTCCCCTCAGATAACCATTAAACACAATTAAAACGTAACAGAAATAATTTTGTCCCCAGATAGCTGTTCTCTGGGGGACCAACATATAAAAAACTCAGTTCATGCGGTTCAGGCATTCGGGAGATATGGGACTTAGAAGTTTTGACCGACTGCACGGGCAAAGTAGCCGAAAACAGTTCCATGAATTCTGGCCCTGCAGTCAGTCTTAGGTCGCATTAAAAACCTCCCGAACGGTCGGCCATCCAGCTACCATCCTTGGTTCGCTTGATTCCCCATCCGTTAGTAAGTCTTTCTACCGAACGCCCGGACGTTCGGTAGTTTGGAAGGGGGTTTACCGAAAGTCTGGAGGCTTCAGCGGTGTTTGCCTGTTTGAGTGTCCGTTTTCAGTTCCAGACACTCAACGGCAAACACCACTGTTCAGGAGCTAAAATGGCCACGAAGTTCCGAAATGACGGCGAGACATGCCGTTCGTGCAGAACTTCTGTCGAACGTAATCCAGCCAGCAAGGGGGTACAGTCTGTATAATGGGCAACAGGGTGGTCTGCATTCGGTAGTTTTACCTACCGAATGCCATAGGGAACATTACTATTAAACAAACGAATACAAAGAGTCAATTTACAGTATAAGAGGGGCATTTCTTCACAAATAATATCTGCATTTGTTTTTTTATAAAACAATTAAAAAATGATGTCTAAAATAAATATAGTTAAAACAGCTATTGCAATCTTTATCAATCTCTGGAATGCTAATGCAAAGCTGGCAGTGGAATGGTAGAGTCCATTAATTTCTTCGCCTCCATGACTGTAGGTATAATAGGATCCATTGAAACCTATTTTACTGTTTGGAAGCAGGAGATGGGCTGCCATTTTCAGAACATGCAGAGGCTAAAAGTAATGGTCCTTCTCATAGAGAATAACACATTTTGAATCAGAATCACTCCCAGCTGATTTAGTAGAAACTTGCACAAAACAAACATACAAAGACACCCCCGCCCATTAATAACAGCCCTGTGCCTGAACAGGTCTAATAATAATCATGGAACTGCTTGTTGGCCTTGTGTGGCACATTGTCAGCGTGCTGGGCTACCTTTAAAGGCATTTTTCTGGTAAGTTGCTAATGGGAGTAGTTTGCATAGTTTGGTAGTTTGTATCAGAATGTCCTCTGAAAATCCATCAAAATGTGTGAATCTATCTGCTCGAAAAAATCAATAAACCGATTTATATTTTCATTTAAGGAGAGGGGCTAAATCTGAATGGAAAGGAAGAATGCTAACATTAGAACCTAGTACTCCAACCGAGTACCTCTGCCAGGTCTGCTTCCTCGTAGCTATCAGGGACCCTGGAGCACTTCAGACCCAGTCACCGAGGCTTGACTGGGATCACTGAGGGTCCTTTTTCCTCTGGACCAGGCTACTGTGTCTAGAGCACCAGAGACACTATCCATCAAAAGATTTCTCCAAACACCAGATGACACTTGGTGAAGGTTAAAACAGCAACTAACTTTAATAGACATAGAACACATTTAAACCCCCAACAGCCTCATTTACATACAATAGTGCATAGAGCACTATAGTACAAGGAAAGGTGGGGTCAGACAATAGCAAGGGCTGATGGTAAACTGAGGAGGGACAGGGCAGATAGTTTAAATTGGTCTGGCAGTGTCCCTGGGAAAGCGCCCTGCTGGGGAAACAATAGGACAGGAAAAAGGGGGAGGGGGAGAGGCACAGACAAGCAATACATTCAACATAACCTGCACCAATACTAGGCAAAGGGTGATCAAAACACAAGAGGGATTTGGGGACCCGCACATAATGTCTGTCTTCCATCCTCAATGATGGTGACTACTGTCACACATGGTTTGACTGAGATTTGAACCTGAGTTTCCTAGTTTAAAGGCAGTGAAGTTACCACTGCTCTAACCATCAAGTAAAGTAAAATATCAAAACTTTCACAATGTAAATAATGCCTTACCTACAAGCACTATTGAGCAATGCATCTAAACCAACTGGGAATGCAAAATATTTTATGGTGTTCATGTAGACAAAATTAATGGTAATTTGGTTAATGTCACCTGCAGGTCGATGGAGTTTTGCACAATTTGCCATTGACACTTTTAGATGGCGGTATCTCAGTTAACCAAGAGGGGAAGAATGTCATCCTGCAGACGGACTTTGGACTTCAGGTTCTGTATGACACTGCCAGCTTTGTGTCCCTCAGTCTCCCTAGCTCATACTTTGCCAATCTAGAAGGTCTGTGCGGTAACTTTAATGGACTCCAGCAAGATGATTTCAGGCTTCCTGATAACACTGTTACAGATAATGTAGATATATTTGGAGAGTCCTGGAAAGTAAACATTTCAGATGCAAACTGCTACAATGGATGTGGATACCAATGTCCGACATGTCAAAAGAGCAAAATGAAGCCTTACATGGGCACAACCTCCTGCGGCATTATCACCAATCTGGATGGGCCATTTAAAGCATGCCACAACGTTATTAAGCCAGAAAACTATTTCTCAGCCTGCACTTCTGATTTATGTATTTCTAAAGGAAAAACCAATATTCTCTGTACAAGCCTACAGGCTTATACCGCTGCATGTCAAGCTGCGGGCGCTGCTGTCTTGTCCTGGAGGAAGCCTACCTTCTGCAGTAAGTATGCTGTTATTTTATGAATCATATCACCGTGTGTCAAGGTTGCTGGGTATAGCTCAGATGCAGAGATAATAGCAGTGATTCTTATTAAAGAGATAGGCTAAACAAATCAGGGAAAGAAATCCAGGCAATAGTAAATAGGGCAAATACAACACAGACATTGATTCCATTCTAGCATTAAAATCCAGCCAACAACTATCAACTGGTTTCAGACAATATTTTTTTCAAATTTTAACTGGATTTATTCATATTATAAAATAATTCTAGCAGCAAAACGCACTAAATAGGACAGCTGTTCGAGAAGTATTGCCTGATAGATGTGCTACAGAAGGACATTTATTGTACTTTTTTAATAGCAATCGCTTTAGACATTAAAAAAACAAAATTAAGTTAAAGCCTATGGGGGTCACCACGACCCCATTATTAATATAGAAGACGTTTTAAACCTCTCCCATGCCCCCACTCACCATGCCACAAATGTAGACGTCCACTAAATGTTAAATAGTATGCTGCTTGCTACAATGAAAGACTAGTGACTGGGCAGCAATAGCATTGCTAATAGTAGGGGCCCACGGCACAGGACCCCCTTCTATGCCCCCATGAGCATCTGTTGGGGTCTCTAAAATAAAAAATAGTGGTTGGTCAGATCACAGTAGGGCTCTAATAAACAAAATTACATGGGTGGACATAGTTTGGTTCCCTGTGCTCCCAATATGGGGAGTTAAATAAATAAATAATAATGGGGTGGGCATAGTGTCCTCCTGTAACCCCATAATGGGGCTTCAAATAAATGATAAAGTGGGAGGACAGAGTGTTTCCCCATGCCCATACCCAAGTATGGCGCTGAATAAATATTGTTTGTGAATAATTTTTAAAAAGGAAGAAAAGAAGAAATATATATGTATATATAATTTCATCTCCTTAAATATGATCCTATTTTTAATAATTGCAGTTAATTATTTAGAGACCTTTGTAGGATGGATTTTATGTTAATATTATGCTATACGTCCAGCTCTTAGTTGCCCGACCAATAGCCACTATGAAATTTGCTCCATGAGCTGTGCGAAGACTTGCTTTGACATCGCAGCACTAACCACTTGTACAGACCAATGCTTCGAGGGATGCGAGTGCAATGAAGGCTTTCTGTTTGATGGAGACCAATGTGTACCTCTGGACAAATGCGGCTGTGTCTTCGAAGGAAAGTATTTAATGGTAAGGAAAGGTTTAAGTGAAGATTTTATTTTAATGAGTTGATGTGAATAAGAAACACATCATGTTAGTAATACATACTTTTTTATGACATTAAGGCTGCGTAATATCCATTTAACATTTTGCAGTAGACATACCATGATCGCTGATCCATAACCCAGCCATCCCATTGCTCCAAATAACACACAGAGACATCATTATGTGGATAAGGGCAATGGCCTCACCTTTAATAAACTTAGAAACATGCCAGCATTAACATTCTGAACCACCTGCCAGCCGTTGGGAGGGGGGAGAGTTACCCAACAGGCTGCTCTTCCATGCTGTTCCCTTGAGTCCAACACAGTCTGCATACTGCCATCAGCCCCTCCAAACTATGACTCCTCAAGCTGACTCAGCACATCAGGTCTATTTCTACAGTGCTAACAAGGAATACTGCCTGCTGTAACAAAACATAAACAAAAAACACAGACAATGCATAAACAGTATTGCAACTGGAACCTGGGTGGCTTGGAGGGAAACTACACCAGGCTTGCTCAACTCCTTCTTTGCTTGACTGGTAAGTCTCCACCATTATTCCCCGTTTAAGTGCTATCCCCAAATTTGCAACACTGTAACCCCCAAGTCCATTTCCCAAACTAATGGACAGCGGTCATGTTCCCCCTTCCCCAGGTGTCACAGGGAATTCTTTATAGTACACAGAATTGTAATGCTTGTAATATCTTTATTGAATAACCTTGTAAGCTTTCATTGAGATCCTGGATTAGCAGCACGCTGATAATAAATAGTAAGAGGAGATATTTAATGACATGCTTCATTAGACTCTCACCCAGTATCATCTCCTTCAAAAAATCATTGAAAACTCACTTCTTCAGGAATATGAATTCAATTGTTAAAAGCTTTCCCTCCCGACTCCTACCATACTTCCTCTCCTGCATCATCAACACATGTGTAAACTCCTCTAGCAACCTACTTTTTCCATCTCACTTTACCCCTCTCTTCCTATAGTTTAAGATGGCCTGAGACTTGCTCAAACAAGCTTACAATCTATGGTAGGCAGATATATACATTGGATGTCTTGCCCAAAGAGACTTGCTAACATGGTTTGACCGAGATTTAAACTTGACCTTTCCAGTTTATATAATATCATTATTCTAACCATCAAGTGACATGTGTACCCAATGTAGATCTTTCTCAGAACTTGCACAGTGTAAATAACGCCATACCTACAAGCACTACAGTCCAAAAGGTAAATATGGGGCTCGGCTTGGCCAAGTACAACATAAGGAAACATAGAAACATAGAATGTGACGGCAGATAAGAACCATTCGGCCCATCTAGTCTGCCCAATTTTCTAAATACTTTCATTAGTCCCTAGCCTTATCTTATTGTTAGGATAGCCTTATGCCTATCCCACGCATGCTTAAACTCCTTTACTGTGTTAACCTCTACCACTTCAGCTGGAAGGCTATTCATGCATCCACTACCCTCTCAGTAAAGTAATACTTCCTGATATTATTTTTAAACCTTTGTCCCTCTAATTTAAGACTATGTCCTCTTGTTGTGGTAGTTTTTCTTCTTTTAAATATAGTCTCCTCCTTTACTGTGTTGATTCCCTTTATATATTTAAATGTTTCTATCATATCCCTCCTGTCTCGTCTTTCCTCCAAGCTATACATGTTAAGATCCTTTAACCTTTCCTGGTAAGTTTTATCCCGCAATCCATGAACCAGTTTAGTAGCCCTTCTCTGAACCCTCTCTAAGGTATCAATATCCTTCTGAAGATACGGTCTCCAGTACTGTGTACAATACTCCAAGTGAGGTCTCACCAGTGTTCTGTACAATGGCATGAGCACTTCCCTCTTTCTACTGCTAATACCTCTCCTATACAACCAAGCATTCTGCTAGTATTTCCTGCTGCTCTATTACATTGTCTGCCTACCTTTAAGTCATCAGAAATAATCACCCCTAAATCCCTTTCCTCATATGTTGAGGTTAGGACTCTATCAAATATTCTGTACTCTGCCCTTGGGTTTTTACGTCCAAGATGCATTATCTTGCACTTATCCACATTAAATGTCAGTTGCCACAATTCTGACCATTTTTCTAGTTTACCTAAATCATTTGTCATTTGGCTTATCCCTCCTGGAACATCAACCCTGTTACATATCTTAGTATCATCAGCAAAAAGACATACCTTACCATCAAGACCTTCTGCACTATCACTAATAAAAATATTAAAGAGAATGGGTCCAAGTACAGATCCCTGAGGTACCCCACTGGTGACAAGTCCAAGCTTTGAATATATTCCATTAACTACAACCCTCTGTTGCCTGTCACTCAGCCACTGCCTTACCCATTCAACAATATTGGAATCCAAACTTAAAGATTGCAGTTTATTGATAAGCCTTCTATGTGCAACAGTGTCAAAAGCCTTACTGAAATCTAGGTAAGCAATGTCTACTGCACCACCCTGATCTATAATTTTAGTTACCCAATCAAAAAAATCAATAAGATTAGTTTGGCATGATCTCCCTGAAGTAAACCCATGTTGTCTCTGATCTTGAAATCCATGTGTTTTAGATGTTCATCAATCCTATCCTTTAACATGGTTTCCATCACTTTCCCCACTACTGAAGTAAGGCTTACTGGCCTATAGTTGCCTGACTCCTCCCTATTACCTTTCTTGTAAATGGGCACAACATTCGCTAACTTCCAATCTTCTGGGACTACTCCTGTTAACAATGATTGGTTAAATAAATCTGTTAATGGTTTTGCTAGTACACCACTAAGCTCTTTTAATAGCTTTGGGTGTATTCCATCAGGTCCCATTGACTTATTTGTCTTTACTTTTGACAGTTGAAATAGAACCTCTTCCTCTGTAAACTCACGTGTAATAAATGACTCATTTATCCCTTTTCTCAACTGAGGTCCCTTTCCTTCATTTTCTTCTGTAAATACAGAACAAAAATATTCATTGAGGCAGTCAGCCTGACCTTTATCCTCTTCTACATACCTTCCTTCTTTTGTTTTTAATCTAACTAATCCTTGTTTTACTTTTCTTTTCTCATTTATGTATCTAAAAAATGTTTTATCCCCTTTTTTACTGACTGTGCTATTTTCTCTTCTGTGTGTGATTTGGAAGCTCTTATAACTTGCTTAGCCTCTTTCTGCCTAATCTTATAGATCATTTTGTCTTCCTCACTCTGGGTTTTTTTATAATTCCTAAATGCTAACTTTTTGTTTTTAACTATTTTGGCCACATCTGCGGAGTACCACAGTGGTTTCTTGAATTTTTTTGCTTTTACTGACGAGCCTAATGCAATTTTCTGTTGCCTTCAATAGTGCAACTTTTAAATAATCCCATTTTTCTTGGACTCCATTTAAATTGCTCCAGTCTGATAATGACTCCTCTACCCATATTCTAATTTTAGAAAAGTCTGTTTTTCTAAAGTCTAAAACTTTTGTTTTTGTGTGGTGTGACTCAGTCACTGTTCTTATATTAAACCACACTGACTGATGATCACTGGATCCTAAACTTTCACCTACAGTAACATCTGATACCAAATCTCCATTTGTTAACACTAAATCTAGTATGGCCTCTTTACGAGTTGGCTCCTCAACAACTTGTTTTAGAGACAATCCCAGTAGGGAGTTTAGAATATGTGTGCTCCTGGCACAAGTAGCTAATTTTGTTTTCCAATTTACATCAGGAAGATTAAAGTCACCCATGATGATAACTTCCCCTTCATTGTCATTTTAGCTATTTCCTCAACTAGTAGATTATCTAACTCTTCAATTTGTCCTGGGGGCCTATAAATCACACCTACACGAGTTACTGTGTGATTACCAAATTCTAACGTAGCCCAAACGGACTCTATGTTTGCCTCACTAACTTTTATTAGGCTAGATTTTATGCTATCCTTCACATACAAGGCCACCCCTCCCCTTTCTTGCCTTCCCTATCTTTCCTATATAAAGAGTACCCTGGTATTGCTATGTCCCAGTCATTTTTCTCATTGTACCATGTCTCAGTAACAGCGACTAAATCTACACTATCAGTTGCCATTATTGCCACAAGTTCATGGATCTTATTCCCTAAACTGCGTGCATTTGTAGACATGACTCTAAGCTAAGCATTTTTTAACACACTTGCTACAGGCACCTTCTGTCCTGGTTTTGGGGGACAATTGGATTGATGTTTAATCACCCTTTTGCCCCCCCCCCTCCTAGTTTAAATACATCCTAGCAAAACCTCTGAACTGCTCACTGAGAACATTTGTTCCCTTTTGAGAAAGATGCAAACCATCTTTTTTGTACAGCTTATCTCTATTCCAAACAGAGCTACCATGAGAAATAAAGCCAAATCCTTGCTCCCGACACCATTCACCAAGCCACAAATTAAAGTCCCTAATACACATCCGCCTGTCATTCTGAGTGTTATGCACAGGCAGAACTTCAGAGAATGACAGTGTGGAAGCAACCTGCCGTATATCATTGGCAAAACACTAAAAACTTCCTTAACCTCTGAAACCTCATTGCAAGCCAAGTCATTTGTCCCTAGATGGACAAGTACATCCAATTCCCCTTCCTGCTTTGCTTGCTTAACAATATTACAGATACGTCTCATGTCTCTGTGAGCAGTAGCTCCGGGAAGACACCTCACAAGACCACCATTGTCCATCTCCACACCTCTTATAATGGAATCACCCAACAACAACTGCTTTCTATTAGGCCTCACCATAGTCTCCAAGCCGGTCTCCACAACACCACTAGGCTCAGTGCCTCTCTCCACAACACCACTAGCCTCAGCGCCTCTCTCCACAACACCACTAGCCTCAGCGCCTCTCTCCACAACACCACTAGCCTCAGCGCCTCTCTCCACAACACCACTAGCCTCAGTGCCTCTCTCCACAACACCACTAGCCTCAGTGCCTCTCTCCACAACACCACTAGCCTCAGTGCCTCTCTCTACAACACCACTAGCCTTATTGCCTCTCTCCACAACACCACTAGCCTCAGTGCCTCTCTCCACAACACCACTAGCCTCAGTGCCTCTCTCCACAACACCATTACACTCTGAAAGTGCAGAAAATGAATTATGAAGAGCAACAGACTGTGCAAAATGCCTTTTATCCACAACTCTAAGTCTACCAGATCCTACAGTAATCCATCTGCCTTTCCTAGCATGTCTCTGCGGCAGTGGCTTTGCAGCAGTTCCAGTCTGAGTTTCTTCACCAGATAATTTACAAATCTCAGACTTCAAAAATACAATCTCCTGCCGCAAGATAGAGAACTGTCTACAGATTAGACAACAACCAAACCTCCAAAAAGTGGAACGTGAAACAAATGCATAGCAATTGTTACACTGAACTAAGCCTGCCATTCCAATTATGAGAATAATTTAAATCTAACAAATCTTAACTTTTTTCTTTATCCTCCTGAATACCTCAGATTACCTCCAGGTTACTACACACTTCTCTCCAGAATATCTCCAACTACACACTTAGAAACAGCACTCTCCAGAATATCTCCAACTACACACTTAGAAACAGCACTCTCCAGAATATCTCCAACTACACACTTAGAAACAGCACTCTCCAGAATATCTCCAACTAGACACTTAGAAACAGCACTCTCCAGAATATCTCCAACTAGACACTTAGAAACAGCACTTTGAAGTAGCACCAAGCTATATTAGACAAGCTAATGCCACCAGGCCTTATATAACTCCTAAAATCACCGCCCACTAGGAATGTTTAACACCTGGGTAGGCCTTTGCTTATTTGCAAATAATTAACCAGCAATCAACAGCAAGTAACTAGCTTAATCAAATCAAATGCCTTATAATTACCAACAGGAATTCAAACCTTGTGCAATCAGTAACCTTTTCCTACAGATGAATCTTACCTGTAACAGTAGAAAAGAAAGCTCTTAGCACAACTCTTAGACAGTTGAAGCTTCTGTAAAACTCTCCAGAATATCTCCAACTACACACTTAGAAACAACACTTTGAAGTAGCACCAAGCTACAATCATTGCATATATTCCTGACTTGTATGAAACTTTTAAAACAAACTAAGGTTTAGCTGAATATGGAGGCTTTACAATGTATCTAGTTTTGCCCCATTTAACTATTTTTGTAATCATTATTTAACGTATTTTTAGGATGGTGAATCATCTGTTTCTGCTGACTGCAAGTTACAATGTAAATGTCAGGCCACGTTAGTGACCTGCTCAGAGTTGGCATGTGGTATCAAGGAGCGCTGTGAGATCAGGAACGGAGTCAGAAATTGTTACAGTATTAAAAGCTATTGCAGTGTGACCTTTAAGAAGTTTGTCACTTTCGATGGGCTGTCAGGAAAAGCTCTTCCAAATGGTTGTTACGATCTGGTGTCTCGATGTGACAATGATACAGATGCCTGGTTCAGAGTTATTGTACATATTGAAAGCTGTGATACCAAAATGTCATCAGTGTCGAGGATTCATATCTTCCTGCATAGAGATATGGTGACTATCACAAAGGACATGGAGGTCTGGGTAAGTCAATGGAAAATTCAAGTGTCTCATAACCTACCACAATGTAAATGCAGACATTGTACAGTTTATTAATTTGTTATATTTGAACCAGTATAACCAAAACGGTGTAGTAGAAACATTGCAGTATTACCGAGGCACAAAAACGAAATCATTATTTTGGGGAACATTTATTCCTGTTCTCAAACTAACCTGTAACAATTAATTATTATCGTTTTTTACTTTACAAACAGAACAGAGCTCATAAAAATTGTCACCTTTAGAATTTAAGGGGATAGTTTGCTGTCCATCTTTTAAAATCACTGTTTAGTAGATATACAACCAATGAAAACATTTAATTCTGCATTTTCTCATTGGGGACATCTAAGAACACTTTTAAAAAGCTGCAGATATCTTCTCCTGCCCAGACTTTCTTTACTACTTCCTGGTTTGTTTAGCTCAGTGACGATAAACCCAAGAGGCAGCAATTGCCCAGAGCATCTGCCTTGCAACATAATTGTTATGCAGCCAGACACTAGGTTGGAACCTGGGCATGTGATATCATTTACTGAAGGCTCAAGTTGGAGTTTGTCTATGGGCCATCATGGATCTTAAAGGTTTTTAGAGCTTTAATAATAAAACAAATCTAATGATAATTATAATTTTTTTGTTTGTTTCAGGTGAACGGTCACTACCCCTTTTCCGCAGTTAAGGTGTCTGGGTTATCAGTCATCCTTGAAGGAGATTATATTGCGGTGGATATAGGGGAAGACCTACATATGGATTTTTCTGTATCCGGAGAGATCAGAGTGAATGCGGACTCTGGACTGACAGGAGCAGTCTGTGGCATCTGTGGCGATAACAATGGCGAAAGGGCAGACGATCTTCTGGATCCGCTGGGAGACAAAAAGTCCAGCATCTTGCAGATGATTACGTCCTGGACAGCCCACGATTTTTGCAACTGCTAAATTGTTTATGTTTGTGAATATCCATTATTACAATTGGAAATGAACTGTAAATAGGTGTCGTTCCACATTCACATCTTTCCACATTTATAGCTGCATAAAAAATTAGGGAGAATAACCGTGTTAAATTTGAGCACCCGAAGTCTGACCAAAGATACATTTTTAATCATTTCAAATTTTGCCTACTTCATATTTTGACACTGATCAGTTATAAAAAAAAAACAAAAATAGGTTTGCTGTGTCTTTAAGACTTAAATTTAAAAAAATAGTGAAAACACACTTATTTAATTTAGAACCATCAAAGTGTATCTAAATCACTAAAGTGATGTAGTGCAAAAATCTATTGTGGTCCCAATATTGTGCAATGCCTCTGCCAAAAATCCTAATGGTGAAAAAATAAATAAAACCACTTACAATCAATATGTAGTATGAGACTGTAAGTACATATGTATCTTCCATGTCAGCTCAAAAATTCAAAAACAGAGAGATACATAGTGTAAAATACTATGATGGAACACTCAAAACAGAGCAGATGAGCCTGCTCTGACTGATCAGCTTGAGTAGATCCCTTAACGTATAAGTGATACTAGAAAGGATGCCAGCAACAGGTAAAATTCAAACACTTTATTGCATCAAATTATTAAAATGTCCCCAGTATTCTTCTCCTTTGTGGATCGCTCATGTGTGGAGTCACCAGACCTCTCAGGACTACGGGCTAATCAACATCAAACACGATTACTTCCTGGAGGCAGGGATTGCATTGAAACCACATGACGATGTGACATCTGATGGCGTATGCAGATATTGGGCAATGTTCAAAACCCTAATGTGAATGTATTATTCACTAGTGAAAAGTTCCCTATCCGGTCCACTTATACCACACAAATGGCAGATCCAAAAAAGAAGTATGCTGCAAAATCACATTAAAAGCAATGTCTTATTCAGCCGAATCAATTAAAAAATAAAGGGTAGAAAGCATAGTATTCTTAAAAACGATAACAAGCATAACATTAGAATATTATAGATGGATGATTTACAAAACTGTATACTCACATGACAAAATGACAAAATAAAAATTAAAAATACATATATATAAAAAAGTTACTTCATACTCTTACCTAAAAACTCGTAAGGGGGAAAAACAAGAAAAGATATATTATTGCACGTACTTATAAACCCAATCTTTGTTGTAAATCATATCTGGTATAAAACCAAAACATTATAAAACCTATTTTCAAAGAAAGCATGTTGCAAAACGTTAAACAAGTCGAATTTAGCATATAAACCTCTTGGTTCTAAAGTGCCTAGCTTGTGCACCCATTTCATTTCTTCGTTATCTATATTTGTGATGAAGTTGCCCCCTCTCCATGATTTCCTTAACAAGTGAATTCCTAGAAACATTAAAACATTTGGGTCCTTATTATGGCACTTTTAAATGAGCAGATACACTATGCTGTTCAAAGCCCTTCTTAAAGGGATACTACAGTCACCCAGACCACTTCAGCCCAATGAAGTGGTCTGGGTGACAGGTCCCTCAGGTTTTAACCCTTCAGATATAAACATAGCAGTTTCAGAGAAACTATGTTTACATAGCAAGGTTAATCCAGCCTCTAGTGGCCACTAAAGACGCTTCTGCGACGCTGGATGCAAAAATCGCATTCAGCATGCAGAATGTCCATAGGAAAGCATTGGGAAATGCTTTCCTATGGATTGTTTAAATGTGTGCATGCGCATTCCGCTCCACTCGGGAGCTGACGTCAGTAGGGGAGGAGAGGTCACCACTGCCGAGGGTGCCCAGTGCTGCATAAAGGTAAGTGGCTGAAGGTGTTTTAACCCCTTCAGCCCAGCGGGAGGGGGACCTAAGGGTTATATAGTGTCAGGAAAACGAGTGTATACACTATAGTGATCCTTTAATATTGTACACACATTCATAAATCCTTTTGTGTAGGTGTCTTATAGTGCGTCCACATGGACATATTAAAACTTAAATAACATTTCTGTTAAAACAGGTGATACAATCCTTAATGCGATAAGACTCCTCTTTACATTTACTTCTAAAAGTGTTTATGCCTTTTAGGGTTTTGTTGGTGCTCCAATTACAGCCCACATATTTACCACATGAATAGAATCATTTTCTCTTATTTAAAAAAAAGTCTCTGGGGTTTCATTTCAATGATGGTTAAAAGTAAGCAGTTGTTTAAAATTGGGTGCACCTCTAAAGGTAATAAAAGGTTTGTCGGGAATAATGCCAGACAGTTCTCTATCATTTTTCAAAAGGTGCCAGTGCTTATTGATTATGGTTTTATTGTTTTTAGACTCTTTTTTAAAATCAAAGACTAACAGAATTTTATTATTATTATTATTATCTCCATCCTCTCTATGAGTCACCTGCTTAGAAATTAAGTAATTGAGATCCATTGCTTCAGCTTCTTTATATGCTATTTCAAATGTTTTGATTGGATATTTTTTATGTACAAATTTTTCTCTTAAAACATCAGCTTGTTTCTCAAAAATAGCTTTATGTCACGGGTGGCGGTACGGAGACCGGGACCCCTGCGTGCCTGATGATGATAGGAGTCAACCTCGAGGAAGTGAACAATCAGAGTCTTGTGCAGGGTTACCAAATGCCCCCTGGTGTTGAGCGCCAGCATTTGTGCAGCCACATACCAGGGCCCTGATGCAGCTTCTATGGATTCCAGGAGCTAGGTGAAAATATGCAGACCTCCCAGGATCTGGATAGGGAGGCTCTGCAGCAGATATGTATCCAGTACCAGAAACAAGGCAAGACTAAAACAGGCACAAAAAAACAAGATAAGACAAGACTAGAGGAACCCAGAACCAGAGCAGGACAGAAAGAGGGGTCCAGAACATGTACACAAGACATGAGGGAAACCAGAACAAGGCATGGTCGGGACTGTACATAAACTGGTAAGACAAAATAAAACAAGACAAGAGATACAAGGCAAAACAAGAGGAGACATAACTAAGTACTAATATGTGCAATAAACATTGGAAATTTAGAAATACATAAATGGCCAAGATGTATGCAGCCCACCACTGCGCCAAAGTACTCCAATTACGGTTGGTCCTAACTGCCTAGATATGCATTACTAAATAAACAATAATAAAACACACACAGCACTTACCTGCAAAGAAATGAGGAGAGGAAATGAAACAACTGCCTGCAGGACCATACTGAAACAAAAGGATTCATGGAAAAGGAACGGGTGTGGCAACATAAAACAAACATTTAAAGGAATCCAAGAGACTGGGAATTCCAGGAATGAAATACAGGAATGAACCCAGAAAACCCAGCATAAAGAAAACCAGACATGGAATAGAAAACCAGAAAAACCAAGAAAAACTAAACAAGAATTGTAAAAAGAGTACTGGATACCAGAAACCATTGCCAGAAATGATCTGCAGCTAGGAACAGGACGTAATACTTTATCTGTGCAATTACGTCATATTCTTTGAAATTGTCCTTTGGGGATATTCTCCAACCAAGGTGTATAGTGTCTGCTACTGTATAAACCATAACTATTTGCGTTCACTTTAAAAAAAAAAAAAAAAACAACATTTTTAAAGAACCTCCCTCTACATAAATCGCTAGATCTAAAACATTAATGGTAGATAGACTAAATACACTGGTAAGAGAAATACCCCAATCACTCCTATTTAGGAATGTCTAGAAACGTTTCTAAGCTAGGACTTGAACCTTTCCATATGAAAAAAAGGTTGTCCATGTACCTATGGTGTGTGACCACGTCTGCCCCCAATGCCTGACTGTTATAAATAAACTAATTTTCCCAGCCAGACATAAATTAGCGTAACTAGGGACAAACCTGGTCCCCATTGTTGTACCTTGACACTGTAGATAAAATTTTGAATTAATATTTAAATAATTTTTATTTAAAACCCATCTGATGCTTTCTATTAAAAACTCTATGTGGTTTTTTTTCAGATTTTTCTCAAACTATTCACAGCCTAACTTTTGGCACAGGCATTGCTCAATATTGGGACCACAATAGATTTTTGCACTACATCACTTTAGGGATTTAGATACACTTTGATGGTTTTAAATTAAATAAGTTTGTTTTCACTATTTTTTTTATTTGAGTCTTAAAGACACAGCGCACCTATATTTGTTTTTTTAAGGTATTGGAATGTATATTTAAGGGCTAGTCGCACTTTAGGTGCTACTTATTTGCACAAATTGCACATTGTTTGTTTTAGCTGATCAATTAAAGCCTGCTATCATGTGACGTACTGGTGAACACTGGCAGACTGAACAAATGTGTTGCCATAGCAATAAAGGAATACTTTATTTTCTGTTTGTTTGTTTGTTTTTTCTTATACGTTTCTGTTAATATACATTTTGCCTACAAGAACATCACCTTAAAGTGGTATTATGGCCGCCCCCAGCTACGATGCACGTCTGTTTTTTGGGGGGATATGAGGTGGAGTTGAAGTGTGTTTTCTCTGTCTTTGTGTCTTTCTAAACTTCTTGACTTTTCATTTTTTTAATAAATCAATCTTTTATGATGCAGTCAGAAGAGATGTATAAAATTCTGCCAAACCTAAATTTTGGAAGTTCCACATTTCATGTGGGGGAAGAAGAATTCTTATCTAATGCTCTGAAAGTGATTGAAATTCTTGGTTTACAAATGAAATGCCTGTGTGTGAGAGTCAAATTATAAAAACATTTGTCAATGCTTCCTTCAAGGTATCTCACATACAAATACCCTCCAGAGTGAATGCCAAATATTTACCAGATCTGCTGCAAATTATATTTATTTCACATTGACTATTAAATGCAATTAATCAAAGAACACCAGTTGCATCTGTAAGTGAATTGCAAAATGAACTACAATGGCAAATCTCATATCAACTGAAGCCAAGTCCGACCGGAATTCGGTCAACTTGAGCGAATCTGCAGCAATAGTCTGGATGCATTCATATTTATGTTTTTACATCTGATCCCTATCTAAAGTATAGGATTC